ACCTGACACGTGCCGGACTAGAGGCTTCTCACTGTGGCCACTCGCCCTCGGAAAAGACTCCGCCCGTCAGAACAGCCCGTCTCCGACTTGTTTCTCTCCCGGGCTCCCTATTGAGGAATCAAGTCACAAGTGCTGAACACTCCGTAAATCCTACTCAAACGCGAGAACGTGTCTACTTCAGACCCGAGTTGCTGTGTTCTGAAGCTCGGGTCGTGCCTTGAACTAAAGCTGGAGCTAGCGCCGGCCTTTTCCCTTTTCTTCCTAGTGGGAGCAATGGCGCGCTCTATCGCTGCGGCTTCTCCCCACGTGCGCCCGATCTGTCTATCGATGTAAGCGTCAGCATCTGCACCGGCAGCGTTTTTACCTGCACCTGCAGCCGCAGCACTCTCATCAGGAACAGGAAGAGGATCGACAGGAGACAAGCTGGCATCAAGGGATCTCGTAGCAGCCCCCAGATGCAACTCCAACGGCCTCAGGACGCCCGCAGGCTGCCCCAGCTTGCCAGAACTGCCAAACTGCCTCAAAGAAGCTCACGTTCCTGCAGCAGGAAAAGGTCCTTGCGTTGTCGCTTTGGCGATTCTCCACAGATGCGCGACGCCCGTTCGCGAGCGCCTCACCCTTGCGTTGCCGAACTCCGCCAAGCCGCCCTCCCCGTCCACGACACCATCATCACGGTGCTCGTGCGCGAACCTCAGAGGTTCGTGTAAATGACACTGTGAGGAAGGGTTCAATGACTTGCAGTCATTTTTCAGATGGCCGAGCTGTGTATGGCATATGATCAAGTACTTTCTCTTATCATGTCACTGACTGAAAATGGATCGCGTCCTCTTAGAGTCTAGGTCTGATTACAACAATCTCCATAAGAGAAGTCTCCTCGCAGACTTTGCAAAGAGTTCCATTCGGAAGAATGGCCGCATCATGTCCCAAGCAGAATAGCGTTCCGCCCGGGACAAATTCAACCCGGCAACTTGTTTCTGTCCAACGGGACGCTAGCATCGAAAAGGGCTGCGAGTCTAAATCAGCAGAATATCTGCTACACCCATCGAGCTTGGTGCCCGTTATCGATGGCGGAAGAGCTTAACCGCATACTGATCCGAATTCTGAGTTCCCACGAGTTCAGGAGAGCTTCATGGTTTCGGGGGCTTGTTATCCGGTGGCCGGGGCCAAATTGCGGTGGTTCCACGGAGTTGATTCTCAAAGTGCCTAGGTCTCTTCGTGCTCCGTTCCCGGGTCCGGGTCAGCGAGTTGTCGGACTGGTTCCTCTTCGGGGTGAACCTTCGTGCCACCGGAGTCAACAACTTGGATGAACTTTGCATTTTCCCACCTCGCATGCCCGTCTGCTTCCACTCGCTTCAACTCTACGGCCAATTTGCGAAATGCTCCTTTTTTTTGGATAGACAGTTCACCAATGTGATATCGCCACAATGCAATATCTCGCAGGAGTTCATATGCCATAGGTATATGTTCGCACGGCTTTTGAAGTTTTAAAAGTCTTGTCGTTGTTTCTGCAGACTTGGCAGAAGTGCAAATGTTTCATTCAATCCCCACAGCAACTCAACTACCACAAGCTGATGACTCGAAACCTGCAGGTTAAATCGCATTCTCGAGTACAGGTGTTCATCTTGAGACACAAATGTTGCGCCAAGCTGTCTGCTCTTGCAAGACACGAACTCATGACTGGGTCGGCACACTCCTACAAACTACACGAGAAACGAGCAATCGAGCATGCCAAGTCGCGAGTGCAGCGCGTCCTCCGTAGGCGACCTAAATTCGGAACTTGTCGCGATGAACGTGCTTTCTAGCGTCGAGTCAAAATTGAGAGTTTGCGACGTGTGCATCGTCCGGGCGTAGCCTGGCTTGATTGCACAAGCAGACTCACGTCAGCACTCAGCCTCCTCTCATGAAGACGGGATTGTTCATTGCCATGTCTGTTCGCACACATATATCATTCATCAGTGTGTCCGTCACCATACAGAAAGAGAGGTCGTCTGAATTGAGTTGAAAACAGTAGCAGTCATGTAATCAGTGCATGAAATTTGTCGACGGGGGGGTCACATTCGTGAAGTGGACGCATCTCCAACCATGGTCTTGGCATCTGAACTCCTTGGGACGATCTGGAGGTCAATGAGCTTCATGCAAACTGCAATCTGCAGCCTGCGAAACTAGCAAACAGGTTTGAAAACCGCATAGGAAAAAGCTTGCAAGTGCCTGTACCTGGCTCATTTGCGCCTTTTAGCATCCGCTGGGTGTCTTGTCACTGCCAACTCTGAAAGATGTCGCTCGCGAACACCCGGTCTAGACCTTGAGGGGATCACGTTTCCCCCTCTATCCCCGTCCGTTTCGTGTGTCAACTTTAGTGCGGGGTGCAGGCTTCTCGAAAGATTCTCTCGCTAAGCCCAGGACCTTTCAGCCATATCTGAAATATGTTTGTTTCTGTCGTGATGTCGAAACGACGCTATTTCTACTTCAGTTCGGTACCTGGGCCCAGCCGAAAGGCAAAAGCAGTCCCGCTAGCTCAGTATTCTCAAGGACACAAGATGGTCTGACTTTATGGTTTCCGGCATCCGCGGATGCTACAAAAAGCCGCCGACGGAGTCTCGCACGGGAACGTATGTGGTCAAGTCAACCACACTCGTTCCGGAGCTTGCCCATTGATCATGCCACACCGACGACGATGGCATGAAAAGGGTACTTTACATAGAGATATCGCCGCGTAGACCGCGATGCGACCGAGGTGGGCGCATGGCGGTGAGCAATGTCTACTTCCGATAGTTCATCTATTTGAACTTGACTTAAAGTGTTATGCTATTCCAGCGGCAGCAAGCGCGATGGAGTGGCCCGGGTACACGGTTATGTTGAAATTTGTTTGCATCTGGCTTCGAACCATTTCGAAGCAATCTCGTGTGAATTTGTCGACAAGTGGCTCATGACGTGTCCGTCATGCATATCGTAAACACGGAAGATTTCGTTAGGCACTTAAACACTGTCCATGCTCCCTGAAACCTCCGGGAGAATCTATCTCAGGCAGCTTACCCGACATCCGTCTGTCGGCACCGACGAAAACGTTCATGCAGTGAACTTGTGGGATGTGCTTTTCTCAATTGTCGCAACTGAAGCTTATCGGGGGTCGTTTGCAAATCGAAAGGAAGTCGGCGACTTCCGGTGAAATTGACGGGAGGGTCTCCGTGTGTTGCTCCGGACACGTCCCGCTTTACATCGTAGCCCCACCGAGTCGGCAGCGCATGGGTCCGCTGATTTCTTTCCGCCGAGAATGAACGCCTCGAATGGCTTAAACTTGTCTTAAAGGTAGTAACGTGCTTGAGTCTGAAAGCCTGTTACTGGTGCTAACGAGCAGGGCATTACTTCTGATTGTCTATATGGTTAGCTGTAACAGAGTAGAAATATGCAAGAAGAAATTAGACCATTGCCAGAATTAATCACAAACTGCTTGCGAGAACCATAATTCCCTTTCCAACCAGACTTGTGTCATTATGTCAACCGATGATGTGATCGGCAAGTTTGGCGTCACTCATCCCATCTTCAATCTCCTGGTTTGGCATGCTACCATATCCGGATGCCGACAAGGTACGTTGATGATGGCCGGTTTCGAAGACCGAACTTCGGCAAGGAAGTCCATGACGCTCACGGCAAGCGATCCGAATATTGCGGAGGCTGAGGCCGGGTGAAGCCGAATATACCGAAATTACCGGGCTCGTCCCTTGTTCAAGAGCCCCACGAAGCTACCCATGAAGCGTCATATTGATCATTTTGGGCTCTTCAAATCAGAAAGCAATTCTGCAAACTTTCGTATCATGTCTTAGGATGCAGAAAAAGGGCCTCAGGCGGATATTAGTTGCGAAGTTTTGTGAATGGCGTTCTGATTTAGGGAGCTGGAACATGCGGAGAGTGTGAGTAAGAGCCGGAGCTATCAATGGTAGACGCCACGTTCCAATGAACCTACAAATTCACCACGCGCTCGTTGTTGTCCATCGCTTAAACTGATATGTGTGGGCTTTGCTCTGATCTTCAGCTCTTCATGAGATCCGATAATCCGCGGCGAAGGTGTGGAACCATATCCACAATCGCCCAATTACCCAAGCACAATAGCTCAGGGGTAGAGCGCTGGGCTCATAACCCAGAGGTCCCTGGATCGAAACCAGGTTGTGCTAGCTCCAATCATTTTTGAATCGTGACCCTTTTGATCCGCACGGTTATCGTCACGGAAATGCTAGAAGGCCGTCGTTTTCGCGAAGCCGGAAATAAGAAAACTTCCGTCTGTAGACTGCTGACAGCTACGCTCTAATCATTGCTGCTTGTTATCACCTTCGAGCACAATTGACCATGATCGGCCCTCACACCATCCTCCACACCTCTGCTCAATTCGACAACCTCCTGCCTCATCGGCGATGGCGCCCCTCGTGAAGCTGTTTAAGCATACCAACACGACCGGGGTATAGACGATTTGGTGCTTTCACACTGCGCATGACGTGCCCCAAGCTCGTACCGGCCCACCCCTGATCTTCGAATACGATCGCGGCCCCACGACCTTAACTTCGGCTCTCGACCGAAGCGGGCGCCAAAACGCGCCTTTCAAGGCAGAGCCAAGGGCCAGCATTTTCCATCATGTCAACTCTGGACGGCTGCAGGAACAATGAGGCGTGGCTCCGGAACATCTCGGCCGATTTAACAAACAGGAACGACAGAACCGAAAGCGAAGCGGCTTGCCGCCTTGGCGATGGTCAAGAACAGCAGAGTCGCAGCAGCCAAGCCGAAGATCGCCAGTCGCCCCTAGCACCGGTAATTTCGGGTACCAAACAGGAAGGTCCCAATTTCTCGTGTTGAACTCATGCCAGAAATCCCATCACTGCATTTGCTATGTGCGCGATTGACGCTGAGAATGAGTCAATTTGTATATATCCGCTCAAGATGCGTTTGATGAATCATGTCTGGTGTTTGGTCACCGCCGGTCACTCGTTTGAAATCCAGCGTCAACCGCCGCCATGAGGTTCTCCTCTAACGTCGCCTCCCTGACACTCGGCCTGTTGGCCTCTACGGCATGCGTCGCAGCAGCTGACGCCGAGCCCGCGGCTCCTCAGATCGACGAGGATGCCTTCGTTAAAGGCGCGTATATCGTCGAATTTGACGGCGAGGCCGACTCCACGGGACTCTTGGATGAGCTCCGATCCGATGGCCTATCTGTTGTGCCCCGCCTGGACCTCAAGTACCGCCTCTTCAACGGCGCGTCTATCCGCGTTGAAGATGACGAAGAGCCCCACGTCACGGCTGGCAAGATCGCCGGCAAGCTGAGCGTCAAGGGCGTCTGGCCGGTGCGCAAAATTCAGATGCCAAAGCCGAACCCGAGCTCCGTCGGTCGCAACGGCACCGCGACCGGCGAGGCACTCCTCCGCTCCATCAAAAACCGCCGCGAAGAGGCTGCCAAGGACAACTACAGCACCCATGTCATGACGCAGGTCGACAAGCTGCGCGAGGCTGGTTTTACCGGCAAGGGAATCAAGGTCGGCATTGTCGACACCGGTGTTGATTACAGACACCCGGCCCTTGGAGGTGGCTTCGGCGAGGGTTTTCCAGTGGGCTATGGCTGGGATTTGACGGGAGACGACTATGTCGAGAGCTCCGACGCGCCTCAGCCCGATGCTGACCCCCTTGATACCTGCCAGGGCCACGGAACCCACGTTGCGGGCATCATCATGGCTCAGGAGAACGAGCTCGGCTTCACCGGTGCTGCCCCAGATGTTACCCTCGGCGCCTACAAGGTCAGCGGTTGCGCCGGCTACACAACCAGTGAGATCCTGGTTTCCGCTTTCTACAAGGCTTACGAGGACGGCAGCGACGTTATCTCCTGCTCTGCTGGCGATGACTCTGGATGGTCCATTGACGCTGCTGCTGTTGCTGTCTCTCGCATCGCCGAGGCTGGTGTTCCCGTCGTTGTTGCGGCCGGCAACTCTGGCAACTTGGGTGTTTGGGCTGTGGCTTCCCCTGCTTCTGGCCAGGCTGTTGCCGGTATTGGCTCCGCGGATAACACTGTTTTGCCCAACTTGATGACTCGCGGCACTTTCAAGAACGAGACTGGCGAGTATGCTTTCGGTTGGTCTGCCGGCGCACCCGCAGTCACTGCGAACGTCACTCTGAGAGTGTGGACTGGCGCTGCCAACAACTCCGCGTGCGAGCCTCTTCCAGAAGACATCGACTTGACTGATGCCATTCCAATCCTCAACATGGACGCTTGCGCCTCGGACATCCAGGGTCAAAATGCGCTTGACAGAGGAGCCAAGTACATCTTCTTCTTTCCCTCAAGCGAATCGTACGTCAATCTGATACCCCTGTCATTTGTCAATCGCTAACACGAGGTCAGCAGAATTTACCCCCCATATGTTTACACCGACGGAATCCTGGGCGCTGGATTGATCATGCCCAGACAAGCCAGGGAATGGATTAACAACTCTGAGAATATCACCGTCACTTTTGGCCCTCCAAGCAGCTCCGGCCTATTTGCTGAGCCGATCAGCAACGGCGTCACCGCCGGATACACCAGCCCCTTCTCTAGCTACGGCCCAACATGGGATCTTCAGCTCAAGCCTCAGTTCACCGCACCGGGAGGTGGAATTCTTTCTACGTGGATTTGGGATCAGTCGCAATACATGGTTAATCCAGGCACGAGTATGAGTACCCCGTTTGTTGCGGCCGTGTATGCGCTTGTTGGTCAAGTTCGTGGCACCCTGGACCAAGAGACACTTCGCAGCGTCATTTCTGCCACTGCCGAGCCCAAGGCCTGGAACGACGGGACTACCGTTCATGAGGATGTTTTGGCTCCTGTGGCTCAGCAGGGTGCTGGCCTAGTGCAAGCTTGGGACGCTGCTCATGCGACAACGATTCTTGGGTCTACGGGCATCTCCTTCAACGACACCGACCACTTCGTTGGAGAGCACACTTTCAGCGTCAAAAACACTGCTTCCGAGGCAGTTACGTACAAGCTCGGCCATGCGAAGTCTGTGACTGTCTACACTTTCACCCCCGGCGAGGCTCAGCTGGTCGTTGCCAGAGCCCCTCCTCCGACAGTCGACGCGTGGGCCGACATCAAGTTCGCAGCCGATACTCTCACAGTTCCCGCTGGAGGTAGCGCCGACGTTGCCTTCACAGCTACCCCTCCTCCAGGACTGAACGCTACTCTCCTGCCTGTGTACAGCGGCTACATCACTCTTGAGGGCAGCAATGGGGAGACCCTCTCTGTGCCTTACCTCGGCGTTGGCGGTAGCATGCACGATACTCCCGTCCTGGTTCCTGGCCTTGGACTCAACGGCGTCTACCTGTCCTCAACCGACAACCACTTCCTCATCCCCGTCGTCGCCAACCGTACCTTCACTATCCCTCGCCCCGGATCTACTGGCAGCGCCATTTACCCCAAGATGGTCGTCACCCCTACTGTCGGCACTACGAAGCTGCACGTTGAGCTCGTTGCTGTTGGAGTCACCAACTCCACCCTCAAGGTGACCGATCACCAGGGATACCCGACCCTTGGGCCGGTCCCCAACTCCCCTGTCGAATATGCTCACCGTTTTGGATACACTTGGAACTTTGGCGGGTTCTTGGCTGACCGGACTATTATTCCTGAGGGCACATACAAGTTCATCGCCCGTGGCTTGAAGATCTTCGGCGATGAGACGAAGGATGAGGACTGGGATGTTGTTGAGACTGTTCCCTTCATCTTGAAGTATCTCGCCTGAAAAACGTCGCGGATAGCCATCGTCGTGTTTTTGTCTACTACTATCGTCCCCATTGAAGTATTTGGTATACTGCGATTGAAGTTGTAGAGGACAACGCCTGCCTAGCAAAAGTCTAGAAGTAATGTTGAGTCTTGATTACTGATGACTGCTCCAAATTTGATTCTAGAGGATCAAAGTGACATCTGGTGAAGAGTGATTGAAAAGTTGAACGTGTTTCGGGGCGTCTGCATGAGCAGATATGTCCACCCTCGGAGGCGACAAAAGAAAATGGACAGGACAGAACTCCTGCTAACAAGAATGACGTAACACTACCCGAATAATAGGAAGCTACCTAGTAATGTGCATCTACTTCGGGGTGCTACGTTACTCCTCCATGTGATCCTGGATAAACCCGGCATAGTCAAAGATGGCTCTCTTGTAAAACCGCTCTTGAGTGGTAGCGTTGAAGCCCTGAACACCGTATTTGTCATTGTACTGGCCCCATTCCCAGTTATCGAGAAACGACCACCCGTATAACCCCTTTACGTGAATACCGTCAAGGTTGATGGCCTTCAAAACCTCTGCAAGGATTGGTACGTAAAAGTTGGACTGGGCGAGGTCGTTCTGGATATGCTGTGTTGACATGTTAGCCGCCTTGTACGCAGGCAGACCGAATTCAGCAATAGTAATTCCCCCTTTGGTGGGATAAGTTGCCTGCCAGAAACCGAGCATGGCGCGAACATGCTCAGCGGGCACCTGCGATTCGTCTGGTTAGCAGGAAGCTTTATCTTGTATTTTCTGGCAGTGAGACTTACGGCGATGCGGTCGGGGTTTCCCTGGAAGTTCGCTTCCCATAAACCTCTAGTTCTGGATGGCACTGTGCACTGCGGATACAGGGCATTCTCCGGGTTTGCAGCACATGCGGTGAAGCCTCCTTCTGGCTCAGAGTGATATGTCGCGGTGTAAATGTCAAAGGCAAAGAAGTCGGCAGTTCCATTGAAGAACTCAAGCTCTTCATCCGTGTAAGTCGGAACCTTATCGCCGACAGTCTCCACCATTGACTGCGGTGGATTCTCGCCCAAAAACAGGGGACGGGCAAAGTACCCGACTGTGAACTCGTTGCGCCGCACAGCAGCAGCCACATCCGGGGCATTCGATGGGTCGAGTGGAAGCGCAAAGCCTGTGTCGGTGAGATCGAACTTCATGCTCCAGAGTGCATCGCCTTTGATGACATCTCGGTACCAACGGACGACTTTGGCGTGTGCTTCCAGAACATAGCGACTGGTGACCCAAGAGCCAGAAATACTGGGTTCGATGGTCGGTTCATTGAAGGTGTACCACGTGCCGACACGGTCAGAAAAGTGGACCAACACAGTTTGAGCGTAGTAGACGAAGCTATCGATGAAGTCCGGGTGGTCGTATGAAAAGAATGAGGTGTTAGACTGCAAGGTGGCGGGTGTGTCGAAGTGGTACAATGTCACCACTGGTTTCATCCCGTAGCTGATCACTGTGTCAATGAGGTCATCGTAATGATCGATAGCCTCTTTGTTGATCGGCGATCCGGCTGTGCCGAAAGGCACGATACGCGACCATGAGATGCTGAAGCTGTACGATTGCACACCAACGGCTGCGAGACGAGCGATGTCCTGCTTGTAGAGGTAGTAGTTCATCGTTGCGATGTCTGGTGGTCCTGCGTTCTCTCCAGAGGAAGAGAAGTTGCCTCGCATACGGTTCTCCCACGCACTGGGTCCACGACCTTCATTCTTGGTTGCCCCTTCGATTTGGAGAGCAGCACCAGCGAATCCCCACTGAAAATCGGCTGGAAACTTGAGGCTGTCATTTAATGATAGAGTAGGTGCGATGGGTAAAGGCGGTGGCTTGATCAGCTCGCTGCTTGGGATTGGGGTCGGGGAAACCGTCGTTGTGAACGGAGGCGATGAGACGGGAATGGGCGCCCACAAAGATGATAAAGCTGCGTTACCGTATTCGATACCGTGATCGGTCGGAGTTGAGTCAGGAGAGTCCCACGTTGTTGTTGAACGCGGGTCTATCAGACCCGAAAGCTGAGAATAGGGCAGCGCGAAGGTCGACGTTGTCGCGGGGTTTGGCACTGGGGTAGCGTATTCCAAAGGTCGATACGCTGGCCATTGATAGTCGCTTTGCGCAGCGATCCAAGAAATATTCGCCCTTGGAAAATGTGAGCATTATCACATAGGCTAATTTGATGTATCACTTACAGGAGGGCTAGGACGACCCCTGAAGCAGGACTGATCGTTGGCATCATATCTCTCAGCGGCCACCGCCAACGACTGTATGCAGACTAATTTGAGATGAGATCGCGAAATTTCTTGTCAAAACTGAAGAAGATTGAATCTGCGAGGCTATTTATACACCTAGCTATGCAGAAATAGATTGCGATGATGCAGATTCTTGAACCATTCAAGCTGTGTCTCTCGGGGAATCAACAACCGATGATGCTGTGTATCATCCCCGCCTTTTACCGCAATCAAGGCGTGTCTTCACCAACAGCCGAGACATTGCTGCTCATATCGGACATCAACCTAGCAACCCAGAAGTTGTCCGTGGCGGTATATCGGCTGTTCCCCTCAGGGGCAATGATCCCACTTGGATGGTAACAGCCGAGGTCATTGGCCATTGTATTGGTTTTCGCGGAATTACCCCGGTAGACCGACGGTTAGCGTTGTAAACTTGATGCATACCCCGCGTTGATGTCCCCGTGGGGTATCTGGTAGCATCACAGGGTATTGCGAATCGGAAGGTCGACATGCGTCTTGCAGTGGGTGAGACTCTACGTATAGGGTAATAAAATTGTTCGAACATGCTGATATTCGGACCGATTGTGTAACCTAGGCTTAATATGTAACAGAAATCAGGTAGCTGGAGGTGAATGAAGTGGACTGGCTCGGTTGAGAACCGCTGGATGACGGCATGGGGCAACGAGGGGTCATACGAGGGTCCTCCAGAATACGCGTATAATTATTTGTGGCTCTCAGTCGGCTCCTGACATTCTCATTGCTGCGGTACCCAGCGATGAACGCTCCAGTCAAAAACAAATGAGGATAATGCCGTTCGCTGCTCATCAGTCGGCTCTGATTCACTCACCTGTGGTAGCCCCTGCCTTCCATCTGTTGTGCTAGGATCAATGTAGGACGCCACCGCCATTACATTGTGATCAAGATCCGCGTGATTGTTACCCTTGAACCCAAGTGTCATGGCAATATTCGGGTCGTCCGTGACTGGCAAACACAACAGGCGTCGATCTAAATGATGTGTTTTTGTGACTTCATCCAGTCATTCTACCTACTTGTTGAGCGAGTTACTTGTCACCCACTACTTCTGGTTTTCTAGACAACCAGGAATAGTAAAGACGACAGAGATAACGACGGAGAGGTAAGTACAACAGATATGTTTGCAACTATCAGCAAGGTGAAAGCGAATGATAACATGACTCATAGCGCTGGATCATGTTCCCTATCCGTATACCAGAGGCTCATCCGAGACGCACCTGTGAATAACTCTCCTTGTGGCTCGTTTAGGCCCAGTCTGAGGAACTGCTGGTTATTAAATCTCCAACACCTGTTCTGCATGATTTACATTATCCACGATAATGATTTTTATGCAATTCCCCCCTTATCTCTGGAGTGTCGTATCCTAAACAACCATGAGAAGCTTAGTCCCATTGAACATCTGCTCCTTATACTTGACGCCGTCAATGTCAACGGTCTTCTCCGGTTTCGCCTGCGCACCCTGCGATCGGACAGTCTTCCACTCTTGATACGTTGGGGCTTCAAGACCCTCGTCGATACGCCGACTAAGAGCACCAAAAACGTCCGAGTTATTGTTCAGACCTCTTTGTCTGAGCAGCGGGGTGTCCATCATTGGGTCCATACGCATGTCTGGCCGCGCATTGTTGAAGATGATGAGACCAATACGATTTGAGTTCATTTGATCCCGTGGAGGCTTAGGAACTAAACAAAGATCTGACCAAGTGACATTTGAGGATGGCTGGAGGAAAAGTAAGGGTGAAGAATTGACATACCTTTGTGTCTGGTGACCTTGAACTGGTCACTCGAGATGACATCTAGCGCATCGTCCAGATTCACGAGTAGTCTACCAGGCTCATAGCCTACCCAGCGCCACTCATTTTCAGCATTCAACATCTGAAGGCAACTGACCGGTTGACTGGGCAGTAGAGTCAGGGTGCCGAAGTCGGTGTGCCCGTGCATGATCAGGGAAGACCTGTCGTACTCCTCAGGATCTCACTTGTGGTACCCCATGTGGCTATGATACGATGTTCCTCGAAGACTATCGCCTGCTGATCCCCGCGCCGAAACCTTTTCCCAGAGAAACTTATCGGGCATGCCGAGAATGCGCGACAACAGCACTAGCAAGCGGCGATTAACTTGGTTGGCCATGTGCTGTTGCAAGAGTGAGTGAAATGGCAAAGCGAAAAAAAAGAGGTTTGGGAAGACTCACTTCGGCAAAGCCCTGGATCTCGTCCAAGAAAGGTGGCATGTTGGAGGGGACGGATTCGGGCAACTCGTCGAAGTGTAACTGGTACCAATTGAAATGCTCGATCTGATCGCGTTGGCCCTCTCTCTCGCCCCATCCTACTTGGGGCTTATACCCCCTAAATGTGCCTTTGGAGAGATCCCACATGAATTCCTCCTTCTCTTCTTCGCTGATACCGCCATGAAAGAATATGTACTGCGCGAGCGCGAAGTGGCGATCGAGCTGCTCTTCGGTCATTCCGAAGTTTTTACGAACAGGAATCCGTCTTTCTGGATGGAAAGGCGTGTCGTCTCGACAAGCTCCGCCTGCTGGTTGGGGTCGCCGTCGAGGAGAGACAGGTCGAGCGTGCGCAGTTCTGCCCAATCAAGGTGCTCTTTGGTTGGGTCAGGCTTATCCCAAGGGGGGATTTCAGGCTTGCCAGCAATGCTGCCCGCAAATTGGGGCATAGGGGGAAGGACATCGTCGATGGCCATTTTGATTGATAGCTGTGACTTGAAGTCAAGATGAACACTGAGAAGGCGTGAAAAGTTGGAGTTCATTCTGGACCACGAATGAGATGAACTCGAAAGGATATACCATTTTCTTGGTTTGGGGGCTTGTCGATATTTATCGACTCCCTGTATCAGAAGTTTTAGCCTCACCGGCCCCTTAATGCGGCGCAATGCTCGTTGCGCGGCTCTGAAGCCCCTTATCCCTGATGTTCTTATCGGTTTTGTTCTCCGTCGCAAATCATGATGCATTCCATAGAGTCATTGACTACTGGAGCCAGCCTATCGGCGACGTCTGTGACACAAGCATCGGGGTTGAACGCCGCTTGGGGGCTGAGCCAAGCGGAAATCACTGCGCTTCCCGGCAAAGGACTACGCAAGTGTTGAGCCACACTGCCACTGAAAAGGACGGGAAGGAATATCCTATATTTATCCAAAGGAACGTCATTCTTCTATGTGTGCTTGCGTGTTTAATTTGTAAAGACTCGACATGCCAGAAACTACCTCTTGTCCTCCCTTGCACAGTCAAAAACCAATTGAGCAAGAATCGCAACTCTGCACACATGAAAACAAGGAAAAAACGAGTATAGCTTGTTTAAAACTTTCGATACCATGATAAAATTGAGATTTTCCATGGTGAACAACTGTGGCCGGATACCTTTCGCTCAGATCTTCTCTTGGTCCTTGATGCCATTGTCATTTGAGACGACCACCATTGGCGGACAGCCTGCTTCGGCGTCTTCCTCCCTGTTCCTTCGCAATGCTGTCATCAAGGAAGAAACACCCGTGCTCAAACACGAGTAAAAGGTCAGGAATGGCCTGCCGACGAGTTCTGCAATGGCAGCGAACCAAGCATCGGGGAATAGGCGAACGAGAATGGCCCAAGGCAGGCAGAGCGCCGACACAATAATTGAGATGGCCCATTGTGTACCATCAAGGCCGCCGGGGGAAATTTGGAAAGCTCTAGACCCGATGAAAATGATTGCAAGCTGCAGTCCAACCATGATGCAGTTAATCACAATAAAAAACAGGTTTCGGTGAACGCCTTCAAAGATGTTGAACTTATTATCAAGTCGCCGATTGTTGAATTCGTTGAAGATTTGCATCCATACGAAGGTATTGAAGACGATTGTCTCTAACTCAAGCTTTTTATAGGGGTCGTCCAGGTCGTAGTTGAGAATAGCGCCTCCGCCAAAGTAGAGAACAAATGTCACGATCAATTGGTAGATAGACTGCCCAATGATCATTTTCCACATCTATGAACAGTGTTTGTCAGCAATTTAAAAACGGACAAAAAGAAGCCTTGGTTGCCTTCGACTTCAGGAGTAACTTACATTGGTTGTAATCAATGCCTTCTTCTTGCCTTGCGGAGGACGATCCAAAATCTTGTCGGTTGGAGGGTCGGTAGCTAATGCTAACGCGGCAAAGGTGTCCATAATTAAGTTAACCCAGAGTAGCTGCACTGCCGTCAGAACTGGCTTCATATCTGCATCGTAAACGGCTGTCACAAATGCCAATAACACGGCTGTGATGTTGACGGTGATTTGAAACTGGCAGTAAGATTCCGTTAGCGTACAATCCCAAGGACGAAGTCAATGATGACACCCACCTGTAAGAACTTTTGAACGGCATCATTCACCGCCCGACCCCACTTGAGAGCGGTGATGATCGATGTGAAATTGTCGTCCATGAGGATGATTGAAGAAGCTTCCTTGGCAACTTCCGTACCAGATACACCCATCGAGAATCCAATATCGGCAGCCTTGAGGGCTGGAGCGTCGTTCGTGCCATCACCTGTGACAGCCACGGTCTCACCCAAGGCTTTCAGCTTCGACACCAGGATCCTCTTATCTTCCGGGGAAGACCGTGCTAGCACCTGGAGGTTTGGAAGCATGTTGTCCATCTCGGCATCGGAAAGTCGTCGAAAGTCGGGACCCTCCATCACAATGCCATCCGTGTAAATGCCACATTCCGAAGCAATTGCCTTGGCAGTGACCGCATTGTCTCCAGTAACCATTCTAACATTGACACCTGCATGTTGGGCTCTGCGAACTGCCTCCGGAACGCCAGGGCGAACGGGATCTTGAATGCCGACGACGCCGAGAAAGACGAGATCCCTTGTTTGCAGAAGCCCACCGAGGTCGGTGCAGTGTGTAGCGTAGTTAGTGGCGGAAGATGGCGGCCATTCCTGGTAGTCCTTATAGACGAGTCCGATGGTCCGGAGTGAGCGATTCGCATACTCATCAATTGTGTCCGTGAACGAAACGCGATCCGTGGCTGTTAAGATCTCCGCATCTAAAGTGGCGAAGTTCGCCTTAGTCGAGCAATCCTCAAGGAGGATCTCGGAGGCACCCTTGACCAAAAGTCGATATATGCCAGACCGCAGCCGGATTACCGCGCCCATACACTTTTTGCCTGAGTCGAACGGCATCAGCTGAATCACCTGCTCATTTGCCCGAATTTCGGCAAGAGACTGGAGCCCCAGATGATCCTTGGCTAGTTGTAGAAGTGCAGTCTCAGTCTTGGACCCAATGAAAACTGATTTCCCTGCTTCTTCACCCTCAAAAGCAGTCGAATTGATAGCAACTGACTGTATGAGCACCTCTCTGAAAGCCGGCGAAGTATGGGAGGCCCAGGTGGGAATGGAAGGAGATGAAGTGCCCGAGTTCTCCGATGCTGAGAAGCTAGTGTCGTCGAATCTCCCAGCAACAACAGTCATCTTGTTCGTTGTCTATTCGCCATTAGCCAAATCTCAATGCACAGCTAGTGAATGGGCTTACCAGAGTTCCGGTTTTATCCGAGCAGATAGCCGTGGCGTTACCCATGGTCTCACATGCGCGTAAGACTCTAACCAAATTGTTCTCCTTCAGCATTCTTGTTGTGGCGAATGCGAGTGCTAAAGTCACTGCAAGAGGGAGCCCCTCGGGTACAGCAACCACAATGATGGTGACAGCGACGATGAGAATGTCCATGAAGGAAGACGCCTTATCGGTCGCAGGGCGAGAGTCATTAGGAAGGCCAGCCAGAAAGCGGAACAACAGCACAAAGAAAAGCAATCCTGCTGCGGCGCTTCCCAGTTTTGCAATTGCCATTGCAAGCCCTTCGAGCTTTTTCTGGAGAGGTGTTGGCTCAGTCTCAGTACGGACAGACATCATGATCTTGCCGAAACTGCTGTTGACTCCGACGGAGGTGCACATAAATGTTCCGACTCCTAGTTGCGGGGTTAGTATGCACTGGAAAAGCGTGGCATCTAAAGAGATTGAACATACCTTCCAAGACCTTGGCCCCCGAGACAATGAACGGGTCCAAGTTCCTGGCACTCTCTCCGTTCTCTAGAGCTCTCATGACAATACTGCCACCGGTCTTCTTGATCGCATCAGACTCGCCCGTAGCAGACGACTCGTCGCACCTGAGTTCATGACCATCGATATAAACTCCATCGACGGGCACCAAGTCGCCCGGCTCCAGGTGAAGGACGTCCCCTACAAGCACATCGTATACACTGATCAAGGCTTGCTTTCCAGAGCGAGTGACTTTTACTTCCCGTTCTTCTTTCTTCGCACTCAGACGAACGAAGGCGCGCTCCTTCTGCCAGTCATTGATGGAGCCCACGAGAGTGACAATAGCGATAGCGGCACAAATTGCCACGCCTTTGTGATTGTTAGCTCAATGCGTCTCTGGAATACATGCGGCATAACACTAACCTTCAACCCAATCTACTGGAGTGGGAGATCCAGGGGGATGCTCAACCCCGAGAGTCTCGTAAAGTCCCAGGGCCAGAGATATGACAGCAGCTACCGTGAGAAGAATGAGGACCTGGTCGTTGTAGGCATTCCACATCAACTTCCAGAGCGGGGTGGCCTTCTTCGCTGGCAAAACATTTCGTTTGTATACGCGAATACGATCTTCAAAGACGTTTTTGGTCGCTGCAGTAGTCGGTGGCCACTGAGCTTTGGACTGCTGCGGTGGGATGGGACTGACAGCGTCCTGAAAAGAGACCGTTCCGGGTGCTGCAGTCTCGTCGACACTCAAGCCGGTGTTGATATCAGACTGAAGTCCGTGGGCAATACCGTACAAGCCACCCAAAGCGCGGAACGCAGCCAGGGATTTGGGGTTCAACAGCTTATTCAGCTGACCAGACGAGAAGGCAAAAGGGTTGTTATCAACCTTGAAGTCACTCTCAGTCCCAGGATCGGGCTTGAGAGCCTCCTCGGAGTCCTCATGAGACGAGGAAGCACAGCTAGTGACTGTTGGCGTCAAGAATGGGTTGGAAGTTGTCGAGATGATTGTCTCCGTCTTGCTTGCAGACCGCGACCTTGACGGACCATGAGAGGCAGGAGGAGCAAGCATGTTACCGGTCATTGTGGGCAACGCGGCCGACGGATCGAATATTTTATGCGGATTGACAAAGTCTAAATGGAATATGATTTAATGCCGATGCTCATATGAGTCAAGTGTTCGACTGTACATGTGAGGAGGAACTTGACATAATGTGTTCTTGACTCGAGGAGTAATATACCATATTAGTGAGGCGGAGCATATTGATCAAAAACAGATGTTATGATACTTGTGGTCATACTAGTCTTCAAGATTGAGATTCTCAAGAAGCGTGGCAGTGCTCGAGCCTCGATGTCGAGTTGGCAAATGTTGTGGAATATTTCCCCTCATCTTCCCCTCGTTCGGACCGTTCCACTTCCATTTCTGTGTGATATCTGCCCAGTCACCCAAACCGTCCACACTACCTACGTTTATCGGTGAAAAGCCGATGCAGAATATCTGCGCCAAGAGCCACCAACTTCCCTGGCGTTTGTTTGGCGATTCCAAGGCATCTCGCCTTTGGTCTGGACCGTCGCTTGTCTCGGCTTTGACCATAAGATGATTGACAGTGGTGCGAGCATCAACGCATGACATGATTGAGGCAGTGCAAAATGCAACTGACCGCGACATCAATATTTCGGGGGCAGGTTGGGGAATCTCTCTGCCTCATGCGGTCTGCCTTGCCTCCCGTTCCGCTCCGATATCAAACGGCTTCCGGCTTGGTGGGAGCTAATAGACGGAAAAGAAGCGACTTACAGAAGTTGGAGGGCACATTTGGTATCAACTACTGTAACTTTTCCGAGCACCTCTACATGGTCGTACACTTTGACTGGACCGCTCGAAACTACCTTGGAAGCCTATGAATGGGTGGTCGCATGCGCCTCGGTTAGGTTTCTAAACGGACAGTCTCACTTTGGAATATATCCTTTCAATGGAAGTGGCGTTTAAGCTGCCATGAACGTAAGAATTTACAGCAATTGCATGGGTATGAGATACAACTCGGGGCAAACTGACGCAGCCTTACCAGACTCCGAAGATATGGTGGACAAACGGAAAAGGAGAGTAATTCCGGTAAAACATGATCCAGGCCACAAAGAGTGAAGATCAACACCATGTGTGCAGTGTGGCTATGCTCTGCCAGTCTATGACAACCTTACGATTATTGACTTCGCTTCGGGTGAACCTGGAGCTTGCTGAGGTTGTGATCCAATGTTGTTGACTGCGTACAACATCGAGTTTAAGCGGGGAGACATGCTTATCGCTGTGCCCGCAAGTGGTCATGTTGTGGGTTCTCCACACTCGGCATATTGCAGGATGAGGAAGGCTGTCCCACCGAATAAGCATGCAGGGTCAGACTACAGTCAAACAACGCAAGATGTTGCCCGCGTGGAAATCATGTCAACCCGTGCGAATCAGCATCAGGAGGCCATCATACGGATAGCTCCGACAGAGAGGCGTTTTGCCCTCCTTGAAGCACGATCTCTACGTACAGATTTACGTCTTAACGACGTTCTTGGCGGTCTGCAGATAACCATGGTCGGAAGGCTCCGTTGTGAAGCATACCTTCACAGCAAAGCTCTTACTTCCCCGCATCTAGAGGTCTGAAGGAACTGGTCTTGGCGTTGGTCGTTCTTGGCGCATGGCAGAAATGATCATGAGATAGACTAGAATTCTCGCCAAGAGCTTGCTGGTTGCTCACGAGTGATGTGATTGACCGGGCATGAGCCGGTCAGTGTCACTCATGGCGATATTCTACGGTTCATGGACAGTGTTCGGCGTGAGTCCGCGCAGGATCAGAGTTGAATCATCGTCTGTCGTTCATTAAGAGTTCATCCAGACAGTTGGGTGTTCCCCGCACGTTGCACAGCCTCTGCAAGCTGCATGGGGTGCAGCATTACCCCTGCCTAGGAGTAGACTGGGATTGGCTCACGAATTATGTGAACGTTTCTTTCGGCAGATTTCACAGCAAACTGGCCGACGTGATGTGAAAGCTAGCACGATGAGAACAATAAGACTCGCGATCCAGGACCGCAGAGATTTCACTTGATCACCTTGAGGATTACCACGGCTGAGCCTGTGCTGGATTGACTTTTCACCCCATCAGAATTTCCATTTGACTGAAGCCACTCTCGCCCACCCACAACACTTTTCGCAATCATGGAGAAGACTGAAACTACGGAAACGTTCATCAGCGATATCAATGACACTGATGGGTCAGAGACTTTGACTGTGCCGAAGGAAGTGTCCAACTGGAAGATTTACCTCTACTGTATGGGCGTTTGCCTCGGAGCCGTTGCTCTAGGCAAGTATTCTGACCAGCGTGATTCATCTTAATAGCTAAAAATTCACTGACAACTTCAATTAGGCTACGATGTTTCCGTTATGGGTGGTACATTGATCCTCCCCTCGTTCGAGCGTGACTTCGGTCTCATTGACAAAACTCAACGTCAGCTGGACGACCTGACGTCCAACATTGTTTCGTGTTTCCAGGGTGGCATGTTTCTCGGTGCGCTGGCTTCGTACCCCATATCAGACCGTTGGGGTCGCAAATGGTGCATCACCATTGCCACCATTATATTTCTTGCAGGCGCTTCAATTCAGACAGGCTCTCGCGGCATTGTGGCCCTCGTCATGGCCGGAAGATGTATTGCGGGTCTAGGCATAGGTGCTTCGGCTCCGGTCATCCCAGTGTGAGTTTCTCTTAACACAGGGGCACCTAAGTGTAACATTGAAGTCATTGACGCCGTTGGTAGATACATCGCTGAAGTTGCACCCCCCACCATCCGTGGCAAGCTTGTGGGTTTCTATGAGATTGGGTCCCAGGGCGCGCAAATGCTCGGATTCTGGGTCAATTATGCCGTCAATAAGACCATCAGTCCCAACAGTGAGTCTTTGCCTCCTGACTAGAGAGCTCAAGCGACTGACGAGACATTTGCAGCAAGCACCCAGTGGATGGTTCCTCTTGGACTCCAACTATTGCCCGGAGCAATCCTTTTGGTGGTCCTTCCTTTCTGTCCCGAGTCGCCTCGTTGGCTTTGCGGAAAAGACAGGTGGGACCAAGCTGAGCGAATCCTAACTGACATCCGGCAACTCCCAATTGAACATCCGTACGTGGCTCATGAATTGCGTGAAATTCGACTTGCAGTCGAATTCGAGGCACACCTAGCTTCAAAGCACCCTGGACTCAGGGGAAAGCTCAAGGACCTCACAAAGAAGGGAATTCGCAACCGCCTGGCCATTGGACTTTGCTTGATGATGTAAGTTCTGTAGGGTCATCTGTCAAAGAATCTTGCTGAAATATGTTTCCAGGTGTCAGAACATGACAGGAGTCAACATAATCACGTATGGACCCTTTCGCTTTTCAAGGAATGGAGCTCTATAGCTAATCATTGGCATTATAGTTACTATTCACCTCGCATTTTCCAAACTCTTGGAATACAATCAACGGACCTGAAGCTCTTTGCCACTGGATTCTATGGCGTTGCAAAAACGCTTGGAATGGTAATTTTCTCATTCTGGGTTGCAGATCACTTTGGGCGACGTAAGGGGCTTATCTGGGGCGCCTTTGTGGGTGCGGGGCCTATGGTGAGTAGCATCCATCATATGTTGAGTGAGCTCCACTGTCTAATCCTCAAAAAGCTATACCTGGGAGGTTTTGTCATGAAGAACGACCCTGAAGCAGCAGTAGCAGCAGGTAGAACGACCATGTCTGGATGGGGTTATCTTGCAATGGTTTGCGTCTACCTCTATGGTGTAATCTACTGTGCATCCTGGCAGGTGAGTACGTTATAGCACCTTCTGGCTCTTTCACTAATGGATGCCAGGGGATCACATGGCTTTATGCATCTGAGATCTATCCTCTTTATCTCCGGTCACTACGCATGGCCCTCACCATTGCCGATGAGAGACTTTGGTCTTATGTTGTGTCTCGCTCAACACCGTACATGATTTCTGATATCGGTTACGGAAGTAAGTAAGACCTTCAGTACTTGGAGTGATCTAACACTATACAGCATACTTCTTTTTCGGAGCTCTAATGGTGTGTATGGGCCTTTGGGCTTGGTGGTGTATCCGCGAAACCAAGGGGGTGCCTATTGAAGAGATGGACGCCTTGTTCGGCGCCCCGCATGCGAACATGGAAGATGCAGACCCCAAGTCCGCCTGATATATACTCGTACGCGACCACTCCATGTCTTGGCGTCCTGCATGCTATTGGTTGGTGGCATGTGGACTTGCAACGATGTACCGACTTTGGGGACGTGTTTCTCACTGCCTGGTTGGCCGGTCCTTGCCCTCTTTCTTCGGATTCTACTTTTCGTTCTGTCAACACCTTCATGTCAGAGCACACCCACTCATTAAATGGTCAAATCATAGTCAGATCAAAGTTTGATCACTTAGTGTCTACGTAATGATTTATTTCTCTAGCGATCATTCATCGCATAACCTCGTCAAATTAAGAAGGATCAGTAACACAGGTTATGCCAAATACTCACAGATCGTCAATAGGCTAACGCATCCGTAAATAAGAAACAAAGAGGGTCTTTTGATGCAGGATTGCAATCGCAATTACATCTAGCGAACTTCGTCTAGGTATACTACACAGAATCTTATTCGCATGTCATGATTCTCTTGACCTCTCTTACCACAGCATCAGTCAAGGAGTCGGTCGTTCCCGAACCTCCCAAATCAGGAGTCAGATATTTCTGCTCTTCTACCACAATACGCACAGCTTCTCTAACTGCATTTGCCTCCTTCCGGCGATCCATGGACTCCAGAAGTAGAGCGCCACTCAGAACCAAGGCCAGCGGATTGGCAATACCCCTGCCAGCAATGTCTGGAGCTGCACCATGAGACGCCTCAAAGACAGCGAGATCGTCGCTGACGTTCATGCCTGGTGCCAATCCCAAAGAACCGACGAGCCCCGCAGCCAAATCTGAAAAGATGTCACCGTATTGGTTGGCCGCCAGAACAACGTCGAACCTTTTCGGGTCTTTGACGATGAGGTAGCAGGCAGCGTCGATCATAAGCTCCTCGGTTTCAATATCCTTGTAGTCTTTGCTAACCTCCCGAAAGCAGCGAAGGAACAGGCCATCGGTGTAGTTGAGCACATTAGCCTTGTGCAGGCAAGTCACTCTCTTACGACCGTACTTGCGGGCATACTCGAATGAGTATCGCGCAACCCGCGTAGCTGCTGCACGTGTGGTGAGCTTGATTGCCTCGGCGGCGATGTCGTCCCCAATCTTGTGCTCGATACCAGAGTAGAGATCCTCGGTGACCTCTCTCATGATTATGCAATCGAGATCCTCGTAACGGCCAGAGATGCCTGCATATCCCTTTACAGGTCGTGGGTTTACGAAGAGACCCAGCTCCCGCCTGATCGCATTGTTCAGTGATGGATAGGTCGCCGAAGTTCCGTCAGGCTGAAGACAGGTAATGCGCCCCACGAGCTTGTGGGTAATGATCGGGGCTTTGAGCGTTACGCCGACCGATCGGAGCTGAGCCACCGTCTCTGGTGGTATGGGGTGCCCGTGTTTCTCGATGGCCTCATCGGCAATCAAGATGTTTTCCCATTCAATGGGAATGCCGGTGGCCTCGAGGACACGCTGTGAGGCACGCATGATCTCTGGACCGATGCCATTGCCTTTGAGAACGCCGATGCGCATGTTGACGGTATTGCGGTAGGTTTGATAACAAGGCAATGAATTGAGTTGAAGACGCGTATCTCGGCTAACTGCGGACAGTGATAAGTCTGATTTGCAGAAGGTCATCTGAAATCTCGGTCCAAGTTGATCAAAAGAGGGCAATTTATGTCCGCTGCACCGGCTATGCGATGTGATCACGGCCCGAAAACCGGGATCCGAGGGGCTCGGATCCTTCCGATCTGCGGTCTCACCCCGGGCTGGCGGTCGAAGGCCAGACTATTTCAATTAGCATTGGACCCCCGATTGACCAAAGCAGATCTTTCTTCGAAGGATTGGACTCCATAAGAATTCTTATTGTTCGAAGCATCGTTAGTTGCGATACTAATATCAGATGGTTGACACATGTCCACATCCTCCATGTGAGGTAGGGAGCATACATGTAGGGAGGCTGTGTTGAAGGAGGCTAGTGTTTAGTGGCCAACTCATCATTGAATGCACGAGATTATGCGACTAGGTCAATGAGCACCATGAACAGAAGCATGCCATCGCCAGTGATAAAATGAATCAAACAACGCTGTATTATATGTATCTTTCCTCATGGATCATAGAGACTGTTCCTCGGGTGTGGAAAGTCCACCAGTCAGCTTTGACGCCAGCTTGGTAAAGTCGCACATGTACTCGTCTGCTTCGTCAACCTCGAAATCAAACCGACACAGGTCCTCCTTGAAAGGAAACATGTAGGTTTGTGTGACCCTATGGCGACGTTAGTCCGGATGTATCCCGCAGAAGTAGCAGCGGCCCTACCAGTGGTGCTCTTTGCTTGCTTGGTATTCGTCCAACGCGGCGCGGTTCTCGTGGTAGCTAAGAAGGGCAAACTCGAAACCCTTGCTTCGCTCAATCGGATCGGTCACGGACGGTCCTCCGACGATAAGGCGGTTGTCCTTGACGCATGATAGGTTCTTCAACTTCTTGAGCTCTCTTACGAATGTCTCCTTGTGTTCCTTAGTAACCTCCGGTCGGAATTTGAACAGCACTTGCCAACTTGTCAGATAACTATAGGCAGATAAGGAAGGAGTATAGTCACTTACCCATATGAATGAGAGTCATCTTGGCAGTCTGAAACGAATGTTGATAGACGATAGCGTACAAGATGGAAAGCCCTTTTCAGCGCAAACGCCTGCTTCAGTTATGAAAAGCAAAAGATAGAAATCAGATCGCTGGGACAGTTTGTCCTTTGTTCTGATATTGACAAGGCCCTGTTCAGCACTTGAGCCCTTGGCATGGTCCAACGGGGCCTGCGTTATGGGGACGTCCGTACCCCGGCATTGACGCCGGCCCGCACCGGCATATGGCCGGAGGCCAAGACTCTCAAGAATCTGAATCCCGCCTATCAGAATCAGCCACCAGACAGGATAGCTCGCACGCGATAGTGGGGCAGGCCAATGACAATGGCCAATTTAAGAATGACCAAGTTCGAAGAGTGAAAATGTTGGTATCTTGGCCCGCGAGAACACCGGCTGAAAGATGAGGCAGATGTGGCAGATGTGGCAGCGTGGCATCCTACACGTTGGATGTATTTGCAATAGAGTTCCATTGCATTTCAGACTTCGGACGGGGAAATATACCAGTCGGAAACGTTTTTTTGCCCTAATAAAATTCACTTGAGTATGCAAAGGTTGTCTTCGAAGGCTTTTAGTCAGCTTCGCACCTCGACATAAGCATGTCTGCGGGGACTTTGTATCATCGTCGAAGGGACTGAATAGACATGCTAAATAAAAAGTCACCTCAATTTCTACTTAGTCTACATAGATTATTGTTCCATTTCCACCTTCTCAGCTTAGATACGAGGTGTAAGCTTTCTCAGTGCTTCGAGGGTGTACGACGTGCCCAGAATCTGGCGAAGCAATTCTTTGTAGTCCCAGCCAAGAGCAGCAGCTGCAAGTAGTGTCAAGCTGGCTTGCTCATCTCGACCCGGTCTTCCTGGCCCTGTCATATTCTGCGTAAAACCATTTTGTCAGCGTCTATGATACAAAAGCAGCAATTCCGGCCTCATGGACTTACCGGCTTCATGTTCACATCGAACAGGGCAAATTTGGAGCCTGCCTTGAACCTGCGGACGTCGATACGAATGGGCGCAGTGGTACCAAGCAGCTCTCCGACTTTCTCGCATTCCTTAGCGACTTCCTCGTAGGCCGGGTCTTCGGAGCCAACAACGGCTTTAGAGTTTGCAGTGACAGCGACTGTGCCGTTGTAGGGGGCGATGCCATCTTGATGGTTGAATCGGGTGACAACCGGCAGAGACCAGTATCCCTTGTCAGATGTCGGAGGCATGACTGTCACCGTGGCCTCTTCGCCTGCAAGGAACTCTTCCACGATGATCGCATTGGTTCCCTCGGACTTCAGGAGCTTGATGTGGGAATTCAACTCGTTCTCATCCTGACAGACTTTGACACCGTGGCTGCCGCGACCACGTGCAGGCTTTGCAACCACCGGATACGGATATGACTTATAGTCCGGCGTGTCCTTGTTGGCGTGGATGGTGCAGGCCCACGGCATGGTAAAGCTCCCTTGCTGCCGCAGAAGGGTATTGACGAAATCTTTGTCATCGTACTTCTCGACAATGAGAGGTCCTTGTCCAACGACCTTGATTTTCTTCTCATGTTTCCCGATGCGCACCGAAGTCTGGAGTGGGTGACTGGCGAAGAGAATCGTGTTCGCCCATAGATGCGTCGCACCTTTATCAATCGCGCTCAAAATACCGTCTTCGTTGTCGGGAAAACACCAATCGGCATCTTTGAGAGGATCCGGTCGCGAGCTTGGGCTTAGAACTTGGACCTCACTGGAGAGACTCAGGTTGTATGCGATATCGGCACCGGAGTCTTTGTAACCTGAAATCAACTCTTAGCTTTCTGACAACTCATTTGTCTCATTAATTCGGCTACCCACCACCGGGCTTCTTCGGTTTGACATTCCCAGCGATCACTGGAGGGTCAATCTCCTGATAGAGAACCGCTACTTGGGGCTTTTGTTGACAACGAGCTGAAGAACTGAATGCTTGGAAATAACGCGGTGCAGCTCGACATTGAGTGCGGAGCAGGGCAGAAAGAAGGGGCGACGATGAATTCGACCTTCTGACCGCATGCGCAACTTGATGCATGCTCGCCATTTTGGAAATCGCCGTATTCAATGCTGAATGAACTCTATTCGCCAACGCCTTTCCAGCACAGTGAACGCAAGCTCAATTGGAAGAAGAGCTGCAATTTCGGGTATTGAGCGCAGCTGCCATCGGGTTTATCCCGAGTGTGGCGTCATTGCGACCGGGCAAACCCCGAGCCCACCTTTTCGGTTGCACCGGTCTTTGCCGTGCTTCCGCCAGCTGGACGGTGAAGGCACACTGATTGTAAGTATCTCCATCTCATATTTCGGTGAGCAACTTGAGAATGGAGATGGATTTCTAGACAACATTTACCACTTATTTCTCCTGACATGAAGGGGGTCAGTTGATTAGGGGCGAGAAAAGTTAAACATCTTTGTTGTTACCCACCAAAATTTCTTGTCTTAATTACGATAAGAAGTATTGGACACTGGATAGGAAAAGCATGCACTTGGAGGTCGTTGAAAGAATCACTGAGAGTGAAATCATCTAGATGCGACAAATGGAGGTATCTTTTTGTTTAATCAAAACAACGCTGGCCCTGCTGGATCATCCGTAGAACTAAACCCAGCACTAGCGTCCAAAAGCCAATTGAGGTCGAACCATGAGCTCATATCGCCCAGCTCGTTGAAAAACGAGTCAGGCTCAAATTCTCCTCCCAACCCCATGTTTGCATCCATTGTATAGAGGCTTGGGTCCATGACCGGTGCGGCCGTGATCTCGCTGGCTTCCGTCTCCTGTCCCTGTGCCATTGACACGAGAGACTGGCCAGCTGCGACTTCTGCACTGGGCGGTCGGTTCGCGGCAGCTTTCCATGACTCCGTCGTCAGGTGAACAAGCCTCTCATACTTCAACACAGCATCGGCAGCCACACTCCATGTCTTGGCGAGGTACTTCAAGAGGTTGCTGCACGCATCTGCGTTGCTCTTGAATGCCACCAGCGACGTCTCCTGCTTGATCTTCGGCACGACCCATAAGCAGTAAAGAAAAGTGATACCGCTTACAAAGACCGTATGTGCCGTCAACCAACTGTTCGAGAGTTTTGAGAACCGGTGTAGCTCGGAGTTGATCAATATCGTGGCGACGGCGCTTTCGTAGCAAATCTTCCAGCAGTCGAAACTCGGCCTGGTTATGGCTGGTGACGGGCGGTAGAGAAGCATGATGCAGTGATGGTACTTCAGCTCGAGGTTTTGTACGACGCCATCCGAGGTACTTCGCCGAAAGCCTCGACGAAACTCAGCTCTGAGCCCTTCAAGTAGTGCGTCGCAGCGCTTGCGGACATCCGGCTGCCAGGTGTCGAAGTCCGTAGGCCATGGAAACCTATTAGGCAGATTGACGACACGATATATCATCAGCTTGATTTCAGCTGTGATTTGGTCGAACTTGAAAGAGTATTGTGCAGCTGCATACGGGTTGACCATGACCCTTGCCCGTTTGGTTGAGTGATGCGGAGAGCGAGCGCTCTCTGGTGTCAACGCACTGCCGCCGACAGAATCCCCTGCTTGATCTCCAGGGCGACCGACATGGCCAGGAAACTCTATGTCAATAGCCTCGTCTCGAAGGGTCAAAGGACGTCCAAGGACAACTGATAATGTTCTCTCTAGTGAGTAAGCAGACCAGAAGATGCCTCTTCTCAGGTTCAGACGAAGATGAGCAGTGCTAGGTTTTGCTAAAGGGGAATGACGGTGCATGTCAACCCCACGTCTTTGAAAGCCCAAGTCCAAGCAGCTCGCAATGATGTTCATCACAAGGAACCATGCGTTTGGCCCTTCTTCGAAGTAGAAGCTGGTCAAGGCTAGCAACAGCATGATCTGGAGTCCTTCTATGCTGTCATGTAAAGCCAGGGTGCCAATTCGTTGCATAGCTGTGGCGAGATACCTCTCAGATGAGAACTCTACAGAGAGCCGAGACTCCAATATTCGAGCACCCAACGCGAGAACAAGAAATACTTGAACTGAATGGAACGGGGATAGCGCGGCTTCAACCTCTGCTAGAGGAGGCATTTGCATAGACCCTGCCTTTTGAGTCGTGTAAAGACAATCTAGGTTGTCAGAGACACTGTCCTCATCAAGGAATGGGTACAGGGGATGGAGAGTTTGGAAGTATGCGTCTGCAAAATGCTGCAAGTCGACTTCAGACGTCCAATGAGGTGGAAAGGGATGATGGGCAGGCGAAGGTTTCCGTGCCACTGTCCCTCCTTCTGGTGCTGACCAGCTCACCGACAAGCCTTGAGATTGAGGAATGGCTGAGAAAATGAGGCGCGCAAAGGGTACACCCGAAGAAGGGCCGAGATATTTGGACTCCTTTGAGTTGGCCAATGACAGCATACCAACCTCATGGGCAAGAGGCTCGCTTGGGCCGATCTCTGTGGAGGCAGATGGACTGAGCGATGTGGTGTTCTCAGTCGCCGAGGACTGGGCAGTTGGGTGGTTGTCGGCTGGGATTGTCTCATCCTCGTGAACAGCATCTTCAATGCCTGGGTCTGCTTCGATAGCGTCCAATTGAGGAAGGTCCTCAGTGTCCACAATGAGCTCTTGGGCATCATAGATATCCTGCTCGTTGTGGCTTGACTGGTCAATTGGCGTGGGTAAGGGTTGTTGCATAGGCCATTGCTGCGTTGGCTCCATAGCAGAACTTGTCTCGTACATAGGGGCGGTAGAGACCGTGATAGATGGCGCTATCGCCGACCGCGATTCCACTTCTGGGGCCCTGTCAAGTTCTTCGGGGGCTACCCGACGAAGTGAGTCCTCAAGAGACCGCAATCGAGCCTCCAGTTTGGTGACATGGCTGCGGCGTTCAAAGTCAGTCTGCCATTCTGCTGTCTGAAACGAGTAACTCTTTCGATCTGGATGCTTACTTGACCGCGTCGAGATTATTCGCAATATTCGCCCTGACGCAAGGGTGCCCCGAACGTGCACAGTTGGTGCAAGATGGCCTCTCATCGTCACAACGGATCTTTTGACTGCGGCAGCGGGCGCATGCCGTGCCTTTCTTGCGGCCCGGCCCAGTCATCGACGCCACGCCGGGCCGTTGCCGAGTCGATACGGGGGAAATGGGCTCTTCGGACCAACCAGATGATCCGGCAGCGTCGGCGTCCATCGACTGATTCTGTGGAGAGGGCTCTTACACAAGTAAGAGACCGGGCTTATCGGGGACTCTTGTGTATGAATCTTCACGACATGAAGCATCGAAGCTGATGCAAGGAGGAAACGGGGAAAAGCCGAGTATGTGGTTGAAGAATTGCTTGGACTTCTTTCTTGGCGGGGAATCCTTGTGGCTTGATCAGAATCGTCAATTGAAGAACAGGAGCATTCCGCATGCGGGGGCGGGGCAGTCCTCGGCTTTTGGCCGGTGCTCAGGCTTTGGAGGGGTCATTTCATCGGGTTAACCCGACCAATGAGGGTCTAAGCGTGAGGCCTAACTCGAAAATGACGATGAATTTGGCCGGTAGCATCCGTGAAGGCAGATATTATTATCACGCTTTTTGCTTGAAAGTTTGGCACTCAGTCTCATCAATTTTACTTTGAACAACACGAACATCTTAATCTGTTGTGAAGATACGTCATCGATCAGAATGTCCACCCCAGCACGCTACTACGCTAAGCCCAGCGAGGCCGTCACCTTCGCCAAGACTCTTCTGGTGAAGTCCGGTCTTACTGAGGATGATGCGACTCTCATGGCTGAATGTCTAGTACAGGCTGACACCCGCGGTGTTGTAAGTATAAGTCCAGTTCTTTGATAAGACATGATTCAAGACATAAAAACCAACACCCATCCCAACAGGATACCCACGGACTGGCGAGACTTCAGCAGTACATTGAGAGAGTTCAGAGCGGCCTTGTGAACGCCAAGACCAACATTCAGATTACCGAAAAGACACCAGTCGCTGCACACGCCGATGGAGACAATGGTTTTGGCTTCATCGTTGCCTCCAAGGCCATGAAGGATGCGATCCGTCGTGCAGAGACTTACGGTATCGGAATTGTCACTGCGGAACACTCCAACCACTTCGGCATGGGTGCCACCTACGTCCTACAGGCCCTTGACGCTGGCATGATCTCTCTTGTCTTTACAAACTCGGCCAAACAGATGCCTCCGTTCGGTGGCAAGGAGACTCTGCTCGGTATCTCTCCTTTTGCCGCGGGTGCTCCCAGCAAGAACGAGGTCCCCTACATCCTCGACATGGCTCCCTCCGTCGTCGCAAAGGGCAAGATCCGCAAGGCCGCCCGCAGAGGGGAGAAGATTCCCCTTGGATGGGCGTATGACAAGGATGGAAAGCCCACCGAGGACGCGAACGAGGCTTTGAACGGCTCCATGGCTCCTATTGGTGGCCCCAAGGGATCTGGAATTGCCATTCTGATGGATATCATGTCCGGAGTCTTGTCCGGTGCTGCTTTTGGTGGCGAGGTTGGTGACCAGTACAAGGAGGCTCGTCCTCAGAATGTTGGACACTGCTTCATCGCCATCAAGCCCGACATTTTTATGTCCTCCGAGCAGTTCCGCGCCAGGATGGACACCCTCGTTCAGCGCGTGCATGGTGTTACGCCCGCCGATGGCTTCAAGGAGGTCCTCTTTCCCGGCGAACCTGAGTACCGCCTGGCTGAGGAGCGCAAGGTGCAGGGTCTGCCATTTGCTGATGCTGAGAAGAAGATGTTTGAGGACTTGGCATCCAAGTATGGTGTACCAGGGCTTGAGCTGTCTACGACGCCTCTGGCTTGAATTTGGCACGCAAAAAATTATCAAAAGATGGAATGACGTTATGTACATAAGTAGATTTTGAATGAAATTCGTTAAATCAGTCCGCAGAGCACATTCCTGGTGCGTGAGATTAAGATGCGATGTTGTCATCCTTCCGCAGGTCTATTTTATGTTCCTCGAAGATTGTGGAATTCTCTTAGTCAAGGTCATCGTGTTTGCGATCCCCAATTGTGACGATGGCGAGTGCATTCTTGCAAACCTCAAAAGGTGATGGCGATCACTGCGTCTATCTCCTTACTCAACTTTCCTCTGCCATTCCATTTGAGGATGTTTGAAATACTTTCTTTGTGTATTTATCTTTGTTGGTGAATCATTATCTCACTATTTACCCCTGAAAGTCGCGAACGCCTCTTGCACAGACATGCCACCACGGATAGCCTCAGCACACTTATCGTCTGCCGCAGCGAGCCCAGGTATCTTCTCAAGGACCTGCTCCGCCAAATCGCCAGGCAAGAACACGACACCATCAAGATCGGCAATGATGTATCCTCCCGGGCTAATCATAGCATCCTGCTTGGCAGACTGAAGCTTCACCTCGACGTTGATTTCAGATGGGAAACACACAGCACCACCGGCAGTAGTTCCAGTGCCTCTTGCAAATAGCTGGAATGATTTTCGTTAGCCAGGGATGCATAAGCATTGAGCGCATGTCCAATGGCTCTTACCGGGAAACCGAGGTCTCTGTGCTCTTGGAGGTCGCGAAGATGTCCGTCAATTACGACCCCCTTGGCCCCGAGGATCTGGGCTCTCAACGACATGAGACCTCCATAACAGGCGTTCACATGCGGAGCCGGCTGTGAGACGAGAACAACAGAATCCTTGGGGATCTGGTCGATCTGCGAGAAGGAATCGTGATGAGCGTCCCGGGTTCAATCTGTAAAACTTGACTCAGGAAGCTAAACTCACGTAGTTGCCCTTGACCTTCGGCGCAGATGAGTCGCTCTTGGGAGCAAACTTAACAGTAAAGACGGGTCCGACAATTTTGGTCTTCCCAGCTTGGTACTCTGGCGAGTAAAGCACGAGTCCCTCTAGGAAGCCTCCGTCAGCACGGCCAAGCTTGGAGAGGCCATCCGAGATCTAGTTAATTCAGTAATTAGAGTCTTGTGGTATGGAATATTGGCCAGAAGTCGGTCTACTCACATCACAGCTTGACCATTTCGAGAGACGCTCCACGATGTCGGATGTTGACGTCATTGTGAAAATAAGCAAATCGTGCAATTGAATTCGAACGTGAACGACAGCATGCAGCCAATTTTGGCTTCTAGAGCTCTCTTACTAGGGTTTTAATCGAATTTCAATCGACCTGAAATGACGTCTCTATCGTCAGATCGTTCCGATTGTCGGATAGGTCCCACGCGGGGTTGTAATCAAAGCCGGCGCCGCGGGGCAGTTTGTTTTGTTTCGGGGAAAAGCCGGCTTCCTGCAGTCACACTTTCGGGATTGGGCCGATACCACAGGTCGAAAGTCATGATAGAATTCTGGAGCAATCGTGGTTATCCGCGTGGGGAATAGAGTTTTACAATGGATAGCTCAGTTGCAACATGAATTTCGGCATTGGTAGATTACGATTGACACGATCTAATGGGCAGCATCAGCTTCGTAATTGGCGATCAGTTGAAGTCCTCATAGTACGAGCTGAGAACTTGATTCCGGATACAGAGACATGTGCTTCATTCGTGTTGATAACATGTACATGAATTCGAATCTCCATATACCGGCATGCCTTATGCTTTGCCAGCTGAGCCCAGCACATCCCTCATTACCCGCTCAATAGACCTGGCATAAACTTCCGCCCCCTTCATTTTCAGAACGGTGAGCTCCAACTTGCCCGCATTTTCTGCGATGAAGTCTGTGTACTCGTCGCGGACCGTTCTGTTCAGGTTGATTTTGACCATGCCATGCTTTCTGGCGGTCCTGAATTGCTCGTCAGACACACCGTGGGTTCCATGCAAGACGAGGGGAATGTCGGGGATGGCATTATGAATGTCGTTGAGCCTGCAACAAAATATCAGTCAAAATCAGGGCTCCGTTATAGCCGCTGGATTACTTACAGAGGCAATCTCCAATATTTCTCCGGGCCACCAGGACCGTAATTTCCGTGGATGTTTCCGAAAGACGGGGCAAGGAATTGCACTCCTGTCTCCTTCACGAAATCTCTCGCAAGCTCGGGTCGTGTAAAAATCGTCTCAAGATCGACTGTTGGCAGACCATCCTCGCCGCCTTCCAGCCGGCCCATCTCAGCCTCGATCGCGATGCCCTTGGCGTTCGCGATCTGCACAATCTCTTTGCACTGCCGGCCATTCTCGGCTTCGTCGTGGATTGAGGCATCGACCATAATGGAGTCGAAGGGAAGCTCAAGCGCCGCCTTGACGTCTTCCGATTCGATGCAGTGGTCGAGATGAACCGCGATGGGAACTTTCGCGGTGTGCGCGGCGCCAATCACGTACTTGACGAACTCGGGGCCTTGGAATCGCATCGTCCATGGGAAGACTTGGATAATAGCAGGCGACTTGCACGCCTCAGCTGCTCGAATGACGGCGATAACACCGTCATCATTATAACTATTCCCGAGTCAGCTTTATGGAAGGCCAAGAAAGAATGCAGTTCTCACCAGTTGTACGCGCCGACAGCGTAGCCTCCTGTCCTAGCCGCCTCAAGGATCTGGTACGTCCTGTTGTTCTGGGGAAAAGATGCCATGTTTGCGACTATTTCTTCGAGCAATTTGGTAACGTGAATATTTCAGTTTCTACTCGTCTAAGATAACTGTTCATATGATTCATCCGAGAACCATCCACGGCGTGAGATGGTGGACACGACGGACCTTCTGTGACCCACTCGGCTTGACCCCGGCTTGTAAGTGCTTCGCGCGATGCGATCGTGTAATTGAACTGATCGGGTCAAAATCAAGTAGATTTACGCAGAAAAACGAAGATTTACTCATTGGGTATAGAAAACCGTGACTTGAAACGAGATATCATTTTGAAGACTGGTATCCCCGCGAAATCACATATTTTGTCAATAAATGGTACCATTATTCGCTTGATCGCTTTCTCAAATTGAGATAGAATTCTCCTGATGCCACAACACAACAGAGAACCGACTGCCTATTTCACGATTTGGCTGGATAATCATACAGAGTTGAAGGATTATTAACCCATAAGTCCTGCCATTCCTCTCCGTTCAACCATGTGCTCAACGACCGAATCCACGCCGGGTTGTCAATCTTCAGGAAAGGCTCTTGCTCATCCTTGCTCCTCAGATGCCTGTCTTCGTGTCGTTGAGTATGAGGCCAGTCACTACCCCAGACCAGTCTCTTGGAGTTCGTCCTGACAAGCTCCTGCACAATGTCCTTGAGGTCTTCGAAATGGGGGTCAGCTCGAGAGCATCGATAGGGTGCTGAGATCTTGATCCATAGGTTTCCTCCTCTCAGTGTGTTCAGCAGGTCCTGCCATCCCGGTTGCTCCCTGACAGGCACAGACCCAATCGCTGCCATGCTGGGAGTTTTGACAAGACCAATATGATCCAGAACAACAGGCAGCTTTGACTGTTGAATGACCGGTCCTAGCTTGGCCCAGTAAGAGATGTTTGGTTGCTGAATTTGAATGCTCCAGCCATTGCCAGTCGGGTGCCATTGAAGAAGCCTGTTGGCCGTGGACTTGATGAGGTTGACTTGCTTGTCGACGTCGTTCATGGCCTGGGCCTTGAAGAAGTCCAGCCTAACGCTTCGAATGCCGGCTCTATGATACGTGTCCAGCAGCTCGTCTGTTACGTTTTCGAGGTCAAGGACGCAGATGCCGCGTGCCGTTCCGTTGAACTGCTCCAGGTAGTAGAGTAGAGAAGAGCAGTCGGCCCCGTATGATAAGCCATGTGCGATGCACACGTGCGAGACGCCGATGGATTCTTCGAAAGCCTTGAGCTGCTCCAGTGTTGCAACGGAGGGCGTGAAGTGCCTCCCAGAGGCGAAAGGGAAGCGTGCTGGCTCGAAAATGTGGTGGTGTGTGTCCCATGCCCCGGCGGGAACAACCTTAGGCGCTTCGGTGATTGAACCCATGATCTTTGACTGAGTAAAAAGGGATTGCTCATTCAGACATGGACGAAGAAAAATCATGTTATATCAGAGCGCTTGGGGGTCCTTCAATGACTGGCTGCCGTCAACGGAAGCCTTGAGAAGTATCCTGGGCATGACTCGGTTACTGACATTGCAGCATGACATCGGCTTGATCCCGACTGATATTGCACCGCAACCAACAATAGGGTCAAAAGTCATTGTATAAATATTTTCTGCCCGGCAACTGCACTTTTATGTGGAAATGCAAGAGGACAATTTCTAACGAATAGTACTTTAAATGGAGTACTTGATGAACAGAACCCAGGCAATGATAATCAGAGAGCAAACCAGCGAAATACCCACGGCCGTGAACGACCTTGCGGGCCTTCTGCCGACGAGGTCTCCTAGCTTTCCCTCCTTTTCAATGTCCATGCGCTTCTTATTGCTGATGCTAAGAATGCCCGCCAGGTATCTGCGGTCGAGGATTCCATAGAACAGCCCAAGGCAAAACTCCAGGCCCTTCACGGCAACAAAGAAAGCAATGACGCGCTCATATGTTCCTCCAGGCGTAATGTCTTGCAGCCTGCCAGCAATCATGTCAACTATGACACTTCCGCTGTTGTTGAAAACCTTCCAAATACCAAATACAAGCCCAAGCTCGAGTTGGTTCGGCACAATTAGTGGGATAGATGCCAGGAAGGGCAGGGCGTTCATAGTTGATGCCACAGAAGCAATGACCATTGATCCAAGTGCGTTGGTCTGGGTGTACCCGATAAGACAGTACACCAGAATCCAGATGGCTGATGTAAGACTGACAAACATCATGCGGTAGCCGACATAGTCGAAGAAAGACCCGATCAGAGGTGCACACACAACGGGGATAACTTGCTGGACGGCGGAAGTGTAGCCGGCAAGCTGAGCGGTGGAGCCCCGGGTTTGGGTGATGATGTCGGCGTTAAGACCGCTAAAGCCACCAACAACACCAGCTTGCAGAATTTGAGTGCAAGCAACTAACCAGAAGAAGCGAGGAACACGAAGGAGAGCTCCCCAGTTAGGAAGGGCACTTAGAGTGCGGGCCGTTGCTCTGGTCCTGAACGTGGCAACCTCATTATTCTGCGCGCGCTGTGCACGCTCCCGAGCTCTGATCTCCATGGCGAGCTTTTGACCGGTGGGCATCTGAGTCCACTCGGGCCGGCTTCGGGCCCACCAGACGTAGAAGATGTTTTGAATGAGGTTGGCGAAACAGACGATGGCGGGAATCCACAGGGCCCACCCCCAGAATGATGACGCATCTCGCATGGGAACCGCGGTGGCCTTGGCGATGAGAACGATGAGCTTTCCTGCAACAGAAGCCGTCAATATTTGATTCACTTTTAATCTGAAACATTCAGACTACTTACCGATAGACAGGTCCAAACCATACACAAGTCCGAGTCCTTTGTGTTGGAACCAATGGGCCAGAATCTTCGGTGCGGCTGTTGGTAATCTGCCATACACAACAGTCCGATCCTTGAGTCAACTCACCTTTGAAGTGCAAGTCTCAATGACAGTACTTCCGAAGCCCATAATCACTCGGCCCGTCACAACCAGGGTGAAAGAATCGCTATTGGAACCAGCCGCTGACACGACAGCGCCGATGAAGATTGCGACCGAACAAGCCAACGAACCCCTGTACAAAACAGGGCATCAGTATCTGTTCGAATTGTGAGGTTCTTCGGCCTAATAACCGACCATTCGACGCCATAATGATCCAGCCCGTATCCGCCGAGAATCGGAAGAATCGTGTTCACGAGTGACGTGGCCGAAGAGATGGCACCATACTACAGTCTGTTAATTGTTGCTCTCATGATCGGCCACGAGAACATCCATGACCGTATGACGACTGACTTGTGAGTTGTTGATGTTAAGCTGCTTGATCAGAGTGCTCTTGAGGGGTCCCAACGTATTCTCGGAGAACGACGAGCCCCAGGACAGCGCAACACCACATATCAGGGCGGTCAGCTTCCAAGTCCAGGGAAAGTCCCTGATCTCGACAGGATCTCCGGAGGGGCTGCTGCTGACGTCGGCAATGCGCTTCTCGTCGGCATCGGAGTCGAAGCGTACCGGGGTGGCGACGTCGGCGTCCTCGGCTGCGGGGACCGGACGATCGGCAGGTTTCTTGGAGGCCATATCGACGGTTCGCGATCGCCGTCAGCAATCAAAAAGTCCAAAGCGAGAGAAGAGAGGGTGATTTGAACGAGGGTATCACAGCTGGAAGACGTCGCGACGGCGGCTTTTAATCAATCTTGTCTTGTCTGATCATCAGATAAATCTTCCAAGCCTGTGCCCGACGCCGAAGTACTCCACACACCCCCGATGCAACACTGGGCACCCTGCCTTGGCGGTGTTTTTTTTTTTTGTTAGCAGGATGCGAATCCGATTTCGGTGGGCCGGAGGTGTCAACTAGGGTCATCCAGTTTCTCGGGACGCAGTAAGCCATGCTATTGAATGGCTGCTTTGGAAATAGTCGTCCGACACTGAGGGTAGGGAGAAGTCAAAGTGGATTCGGAAAGTAGTAGTGTTTCATTTTACTTGTCTCTTCAGCAAAAGTACGGACAATGATCCGTCGATGAGCCTGCAGTCGGTACCCTGGACTAAGGGACTGTGGCATGCAGCAACCTTTATGGGCATCGGTGAGAGAACGGCTTAATAGAGGAACGAGACTTATCTAGCATGTTGAACTCTCTAATTTGAGATTCCACCGCAACGTAGATCAGGAACTCATCTCTCAAATCGTCGTGGTCGTTTGAAGCTTGTCTCTGGCCATTTCATTGGCAAACGTGATCCGCAACCGGGGCTAGACGCCATACACACGGTTATTTTGAAGTTCTGCCCTCACAGTGAGCAATTCTGAGGCGCTAAAAACCCTGTCACATTGGGGCGTGAGTGGGAAAAGCCCTCACTGTGAGAGACAGGCGCATGACAGAATCCCTGCTAGCGCCGAGATGACCGGTTGAGCTGTCCGCGAGATTTTTCTGATGTGGACCCTAAGGGATAACTGCCATCAGCTGCCATTTATCTTATCAATCTGATCACATGCCCCATCTAATCAATCTAGGTAAGTACACCTACTGCTCGCCCCTTGTTTGGACATCACCTCGTTACGTCCGATGGCAGCCTGCTCAAGAAGGACACTATGCAGATTTTTAATACCCCCACCACAAAGCAAGGCGCAAATGAGAAAGCTGTCAAGATCTACCTCTCTTTCCTTTGCTGCCTTATGGCCTTTGTGATCGTGGCAAGTTGGCTACGGGAAGCGTGTCACAACACCAAGAAAACGCCCTCAAAAGCGTCCTCCAGAAGACTACTCACTGCGCGTCACAGTCTTCTCCTCGCCTTCCAGTAGGTTTTGGAAATAAGCTCGCGATATGACGAACTCTGGCTAATAGGCTTCATGCAGAAAGTTAGAGAGACGCGTGAACCTTGGCTGGTTCGGACGCCCTTCTCTCGGATATGTCCTCATCATCGGAAGCTTCATCGCGGTCAACGCCACTCTGTGCTCCAATATTCTTGCACTTAGGCACCTGCTCAATCATTGGGCCTCAAGATTCGGATGGTAAATGTCCATGTCAGTCTAGGCATAGGGATGGAAGCTAACATCTATGATCTTATAGGATGAGCGTCATCAATATGATGCTGTGCGTCTTCTTTGGCCTCAAAAACACGCCGCTGAGCCGGGTTGCACATATCTCACACGCTGAGCTGAACTATTTCCACCGACTTGCAGGATACGTAGCTGTGCTTCTCTTGGCTCTTCATGCCATGTTTTACACGGTTCACTTCGGCCGCCAGGGTCGTTTGGTTCAACTATTGAAGAAGGAAGATCTCGAGGGCATCGGAGCGGGTATTGCGATGCTTGTTTTGCTCATGGGAATCGCAAGACATCGCCGCTACGAACTATTTTACATCAGCCACATCGTGGCTTTTGTGGCAGCTGTTATTCTGACCGGCCTTCACAGACCCAACTGGGCAAAGAAGATCCCAGTTGTCATGATGTTCACTGCGAGCATGTGGGTAGTCGATCGCATGATACGAGGGGTGCGATTGGTGAGAAATCTCATCAACAACTCCGCGACCTTCTATCCACTACCCGACGGCGGCACGAGGGTGATCTTAAGGAAGCCAGGGGTCAAGAAGATGCTGCCTGGAACTCACTGTTTCCTCTGGATACCGCGTATTCACCCTTACGAAAATCACCCGTTCACTGTCGTGAACAATGACTCTGCAGGCCTAGAACTCGTCATGAAGTCCCACCAAGGCTTCACCAGACGCGTGGACGAGTTTTCCAGGAGTCGTTCCAACCGCACTGCATGGGCCTCGGTGGATGGTCCATATGGATCGCTGCCAGATACAGAGTCCTACGACAAATTGGTCTTGGTTGCTGGAGGCAGTGGAGCAGCATTCACATTTGGTCTGATGAACCGTATGATGAGCCGCTACGATAGAGTCAAAGCTCAATCTGTTGATTTCATCTGGACAGTAAGACAATCAGGTTGGTTCAGCGAACATATACTCAAGCTGCGAGACATGCTTTTCTAACACCATGGCAGAACATCTAAGCTGGTTTCAAGAGCACCTTCACAAAATTTCGAGATCCGGATCTAGCATCGATGTCAAGCTTTACGTTACTGGTGATTCGCCCAGAGGAGAAACGTCCGCCGAAATGCCCAACGATGCAAGCACAAATAGAGGTGTCGTCAATTATGGGTCCATATCGCGAGATACGGAGGGACTCTTGACGAGCACTGCCAACAATGACATCGAAGACGCCTTCAACATCAGATTCGAGAAGGTCAACATAGAGCAGGAGATCGGCGTGGCGTTAGAAGGCGTTGCGACTGAACAGAGGGTTCTGGTCGCCACATGCGGGCCAGAATCGCTCATGGACGATGTTAGGGACTCAGCGGATAGATGGCGAAACAGTCGAGGGCTAAGGATAGACATCCATTTTGAGAACTTTTGATCATAGATGAGACTAGATGAGACTAATAATATTTAGACATAGACATGCATGAACCATTAGTCCGCCAGTTCACGGTATCGCAGGCTTTGCACACAAGTTGACTCTCGACTGTGGCCGTGGGAAGGAAATGCATTCACAGCTTCGAGAACAAAATCTCAGTCATTTAGTGGAGCTACCCATGCCACGTCACCTTAAAGAGGACTAGTCTGGGACCATGGGGCGATTGATAAGTGAGGCAACCAAGCTGACCCCGGCATGGTCTGACGGAGAGTAAAAAAAAAAGGAGCGCGGGTCGGGGATCTCGCATTTCCGAGTTAAGCGCCGAGAACGGTCGGTGGAGACCATGTTTTGCAAAAGAAGGAATTTAGTCCTCTCACAGTGAGGAGGACTGGACCTTTCATTATCGCGTGCAGAAGTCTAAACCCCACGCCTGCTGCCAGCCACCACGGCAACGATGGAGGCGGTATGCTTGTGCAGCTCAGTCCGACTTCTATCGAACCAATATGACGAGAGCCAAGCTAGAAATCTGATCCCTGCCCTTAACCGACACCTGGAGGATCTGCGCCGGCTTCTGGCGCAGTCCAAGTCGCTCTCCCGCGATGTGCAGTTCCACGTCACCCCCCGCAACCAGCGCACGAGCAAAGCGCTGGCCGTCGACTCGCTTGACCTTACGCCGGTCAACCAAGTCCGGGAGCAGTTCAGAGAAAACATTGACGGGTTCTGGGCCGTGTCTGATAACAGAGTGCCTGCCGAATTGCGCCGGCGACTTGCCTGCGTGGTAATATTTCTCAGATCGAAGTTGGATGCGCAAGTACTGGTACCGCCTCAAGTTGCCGAAATATTCCCAGGGCAACACAACTATAGCGATATTCGCAACTCAGGCAGGAAGTATATTCAGATTGCACGCAAACTCGGCGGTCTTGGAGCAGTTCTTTGGCTTCCGCTAGATGTTCCGCCATCAACGTGAGAATTCCATTGTGCATTGGGCTGAACAGCCACTTACATGTCACAGGTATGAGAGGTATCTGAACATAGACGACGAAGAAGTCTTTAGCCACTTGCTCAATTTGTCACCACGATATGAAGACTACACAGCATTTGTGCAGCGTCTTATCTTAAGTCAACTCCGAGGTCGGTCGCACCACACTCTTGATGATTTCATCTAATACTAACACAAATACACAGACCCTGCATTGCCTTCCTCGTACTACAATCTTTTCTACGACTACGCCGATGTGCTTCCAGCAACAGATCAACTCCTATTACTCCTTTATGCTTATGGAGGCTCCGACGTACCCGAGGCCCTCTTGAAAGGCGTTCGGTCGCCGCAACGGCGGTGGAACAGCGATGGCGAGATTGAAACTGTCTCGTCTGACAAGTTCGGTCTGCCCACCGAGCTTACCAACCTTCTATCCGACGACATAGAGTGTTCTCGCGCGACAGAAAGCCCGTACATTAACAAGCATGGCCTGGAAGACAGGACAAACGTCTGGTCTCTATGCTCCGAACTTGCAATGTTCTTCTCCAGAGTACTAACCCCCAAAACGATGGACGAACTCGGAAACGTCGCACTCAAACTGCTGTGCTTTGTCGTCCCTCCATGTTACGAAGGAAACACAGAATGGTTCGTCGCTTTGCCTGCCCAATGTATTATTCTTTACTGACAAGCAAGGTCCGCTAGGTCGCCAACCCTCAAAGCCGCCGTTTGGGCGGTGATGGACAAGGCCACGACAACCTTCAAAGTCCCAACACCGCTCAAGGCAGAGGTCATCGACGCGCTCCTCTATTTTTCTGAGCGGGACCACATACCAATGCGCCGCGCCGCCGTCGACAGGGCAAAGTCGTTCCTGCGCAAGCCCATGCCGTACTACTTCCACGCATCCGTCGTACTCTCCCGGAGCAACCTGCTACGGCTCGACGGCGAGTTCGCGAAGTCGGAAGCGCATATCCGCGACTTCATCTGGCGAGGGCCGCAGCCGTCGACTCGCAAGGACCACGCCCTGCTCGGACGCCTCCACATTTCTCAGATCGAGAACAAGATCAAGTGCTATGACAATGATGTGTCGTCGTTCATCTACAACTGGCAAGCGGAGCAGCCGTTATCGACACTCGATATAGAGGTCACCTTCCGATTGCAGAGCACGGCAGCGCGCTTCTTCCAATCCATTGGTGACTTTGGGGCCGCCAGGGCTTCGATAGAGCATTTGATGTCTTTGGACATGACGAAGCCGATTCGTCAAAACACGCGACGCCTCTTATGTGGCAGGCTTGCCGATATATACTGCAACATGCAGGAGTGGGCGATGGCCGCCGATATACTCCAAACGGAGCTCGGCACGACGGAAGACGCCGAGCGCTGTCGGCGCGGACCCCGGAGACTGCTGCTAGCATCTGCAGAGGTTGACATTGGACTTCAACGATTAGATGCTGCTGAAGCAACACTGAAAGAGCTCGAGGGCTACGAGCCTGCCGAACTAGACAATCTGCACGACCAACAGCTGCACATGCGGCTGTTCATAGGCCATGCGCGAATAGCCAGCTTCAGAGCAGATCGCCAGGCGGCTGTACTGCGGTGGAAGTTTGCCCTCGAGGAAGCTCAGAAGATGTATACCCTCGGGCCGGGAGGCGGGTTCACGACGGCGATAACTCATCTGTCTCTGGCCCATGCTCTGCTGGCCATGGGCGATAGAGATGGCGCGCGGGAATCTTGGGCTGCCGGGGTAGAGATTTTGAGGACGGAGATATGCGAGTTTTGGCTCCCGATTGTGCCGACGTTGTGGCTGCAGATGGTTGCCAGAGATGTCCATGAGTCGCAAGGTTGGTCTTTACGCATGATGTTGCCTGGAGGAAGGCAGGAAGTTACATACCCCTGATGAATGCATTTATGATTTGGACGGTCTGCGTCAATGATTGCACGCTGCATGAAGCAATTCGCTATCTGAGCATCATCAGTTCCCAAAGACATTAAGCGGAAATTTGTTGAGTATGCTTATTCATTGTGTCCAGATCTTTACTTGATCATCACCATGTCACCATGGATGGCATCTAGCGATTGAGACTCGATTGCACACCCGAAGGAGTGACATCAATATTGCTCAGTGCAATTCCAGCACAACAGGATCAAAATACATTCCCTCGCAAATCCTGCGTAGTACGCGATACCGACCACCACCGTATCCTTCGCAAAAGTCCCTTCTGGCAAGCTGATTATTCGGCAAGCGAGCCGGATCAGACCCCTGAGCCCCCAAGCCGATTCAGGCAGGTCAAGGCCAATAAGTAAATACAGCTCACCCAAAGTACGCAGCGTAAGCGACGCTCTCCGCGACACCTTCCAGGGGCTACTGCTGCTGTGCCGCAGAATCCTGCGTCATTCGTAACACGGCGGTTTTGGTTCGCCCGAGTCGCGTTGCGTCAGCACCTTGACGTCCGTTATCTTACGTGGTCGAAGCCGTTTGCATTCGACGTCGTATGCCCTTCATTTACCTCTCAATTGCACGTCGGTCGCGATCGATGAGTGACATCTTGACAAAGACACATTCCGACTGCTCTGCAAACCTCCGCGATGGGTCTGTGGCCAGCACCGCGGGTCCCGTTCGGGGCCGCCGTGTGCCCCGACGACAGTCTTGGCCGCCTTGTTCTCGGGCCGCATCGAGGCTGCTCGCGAGCTCCATATTTTGATTATCAGTTTGAAGTCTTCGGGTCAATCACACCCTGCGCCGTCGCTATCATCTGGGGTCTACATCGTGTATGGAAGCTGTGGAACAAACCAGCCGTGAACCAGGGGTCATGGGTGGCTCATCTCAAGCTTGTAAGCCCAATGTTCGGAGAGCACCGCGATATCTATGGCTAACACTGCCACCAAGCTTCTCTGGCACGCACTCGCGGTGCTCCAAATCTTGACCCTGGGCGTAGCCGCCTTCCGAGGCGGAGAAGTCGCCGGAGACACTAGCGTCATCATCGCCTCAGGTTCTCTGGCCATCGCATCCAGCATCCTCTTCATCTTCGTCTCTAGGCTCGAACATCGGAGAGCTCGTGCGCCCTCCGCTGTGCTGCAGACGTTTCTCCTGGCCGCGATCATCCTTGACGCAGCTCGTCTTCCAAGAGAATGGGCCTACACTTACAACGGCGGCCTTGCCATTGTCAATCTCCTGATCGTCCAACTCGTCATAAAGGCCCTTCTTCTCACGGCGGAGTCAGCATCGAAGCCCGCCTTCATCACCATCCCAGCCAGCAAGGCTACCCGAGAGGAGTTGTCCGGCATCTTTGGCCGGAGTCTTTCGCTCTGGCTCAACCCTCTATTGATGTTGGGCTGGAAGAAAGACCTGGTAACTGAAGACCTTGAGCCGGTTGATGAGGCATTGTCTGGTGAAAAGCTCATGAGGAGACTGTCTACAGCCTGGAAGAATGGTAGTACCGAGCTCCAATTTGACTTCCTTAAGAACTGGGTACTGACCTCATCCGACATTCAGTCGACCAAGCCCGAGCCCACGCCCTCTCGATCGCCCTCCTGAAAGCCTTCTCACCAGAGCTCCTCTACACCCATTTCCCCCGCTTCATCACAGTCGCCTTCGGCCTCGCCCAACCGATCCTGGTCCAAATCACCATCGAGTACATCCAGAATCATGAAACAACGCTCGTGGAAGAGGGCTACTGGCTCATTGCCCAATTCGCATTCGTCTTTATCGGAAACGCCGTACACAACCGTCCCTGCCCTCTCTCACTATTAGCTGCTCACTGATTGATCACAAACAGGTATCCTCCCTGTGGACAAGCCAGCTGTCCTACCGCCTCATAACCAGCATCAGAGGCGCCCTCATCGCCATAATCTACCAAAACATGCTCTCCCTCCGCGCCGAGAGCGGCACCTCAGAGGCCGCGGTCGCCCTCATGGGCACCGAGGTCGAGTGGATCACCGTCGCGGCGGAGTGGTGCCTCGCCGTCGTCCCGAATTTGGTCCAGGTCGCGCTGGCGATGTGGATTCTCGGGAACCAGCTTGGTGCCGCGTGTATCACGCCCGTCCTGATTGCCGTCGGTAAGGGGTTCACTGCGAATGTTCCATCTACCTCGAGAATAGATGCGCTGATAAACATTTAACAGTTAGTGTTCTGGTAGCAGCGCGGCTGGGCAAGCTCATCCCGCCCCGCCAGCGCCGCTGGCGCGAAGCCATCCAGAAGCGCGTCGGCGTCACGACCCAGGTCATGGGCTCCGTCAAGGGCGTCAAGATGAGCGGCCTCAGCGGCACGGTACAAAACCAGATCCAGGGGCTCCGGGACTTTGAGCTCGAGGAGTCCAAGGAGTTCAGGAAGATTCAAATCTCAAACGTCCTCGTCGGTGAGTAGCCCTTCATCTCCGTAATACCAAACACCGGCTGGCTCACAATCATTGCGCAGGCCAACTGCCTTCCATTATGACCCCGTCAATCACCCTCGCCGCCTTCGCCATCACGCAGCGCCTCGCCGGCGGAGAGCCCCTCAACGTCGTGCAGGCGTTTACATCGCTCTCCCTACTGGGCATCCTCATCAACCCCGTCTCCGAGCTCGTCATGGTCCCACGGCACCTCGCCATGACGATCGGCTGCCTTGACAAGATCCAGGAGTTTCTGGCGAAGGAGAAGAGGGAGGATTACAGGAACGTGAAGTCCCGACGACAGGGACAGCCCAATAGGGCCGTACAGGAGCCCACACCGGAACAGCCGCTGATCAAGGTCTCGGGGGGTTCGTTTGGTTGGAGCAGCGACAAGGCCATCTTGCACGACCTGGATCTCGATATCAACCCGGCAACGCTGACTGTGGTCGTCGGCCCGGTCGGGTCTGGCAAGTCGACGCTGCTGAAGTCGCTGGTCGGCGAGACGTATCGTAGCGCGGGCGATGTGGAGTATGCCGCGAGTCCGGAGGTTGCGTACTGTGACCAGGACCCATGGATTTTGAATCAAAGCATCAGGGACAACATCACCGGCGGCGCAAACTACGACGTGGGGCTGTATGACAAGGTGATTGCGGCGTGTCAGCTTGAGGAGGACATTCGACTACTCCTGGATGCAGATGGCACCGTTGTAGGGAGTTCCGGGGCTGCCTTGAGCGGCGGGCAGAAGCATCGCATCGTGAGCCTTATTTTCTGCATTGCTTCGTTCGTTCCAAACTAATGTCTTCCCAGGCGCTGGCTCGAGCCATCTACAGCGGGAAGCAAGTTATCATCATGGACGACACCCTCAAGGGCCTCGACTCGAACACGGCTTCGAAATGCTTTAACGCGCTGTTCGGTGCTCAGGGGCTCCTGCGAAGCGTTCAAGCTGACCAAAAGAGGTCGGTCATCTTTGCAACTCATAACGGTAAGCTCCCCCTTTTGGTTTCTTTGAGATAACCCCCTGTGAAACAGTACTAACCCCGTGATTGAAGCCCAATGGCTCCGCTTCGCCGACCAGATCCTCTCCCTCGACGTCGACGGCAAGATCTCCGAGCGAGGGTCCTTCGAGGAGCTCAGCAAGTCGAATGGCTACGTTAGCAAGCTTCGGGTTACGCAACTGAGTGACTCGGACGAGGACACACCCGAGAACAGCGACGAGGAGACGAAAGACGACGTTGAGGCGCCGAAGAAAGACAAAACTGTCGCCGGGGTGAAGCCCAATGGCGCCGAAAAGCTGAAAGCAAGCCGTGGCGCGGCGAATACCAGCTCGTTGCTGTATTACATCAAGTCCATGGGCACGTCGGCGTTCTTTCTGTTTGCGACGATGGTGCTTTTCCAGATGGGGTGTCGGACGATGCAGCGTGAGACCACCCCTCGTTGACAGGCGATGATGGGCTAGATGCTGACGAGTGTAACACAGGCCTCTGGGTCAAGTTCTGGGTGGCTGCGAACGAAAACCACTCCGATCCGAACCTGGGGATGTGGGTGGGAGTGTATATCCTCTGGGGCGTCTCGACGGAAGTCGCTGTTGCCATTGAGACGTAGTAAGTACTCCCTCTACTTGGGGTGTCCATCCCTCGGTATCGTTAATCCATCTCAGCTACTTTCTGGTCATCATCGTCCCGCACTCCGCCAAGGGCCTTCACTTTGGAGTTCTCAAGGCCGCACTCGCGTAAGTCATCCACTCCCGCTATCTCAACTCCAATTGACGCATATTACAGCGCCCCAATGTCCTTCTTCGTCAAAACCGACACCGGCGTAATCATCAACCGGTACTCCCTCCCCTCTCACACTCAACCAACCATCTAATACCGCACGCAGATTCAGCCAAGACATGAACCTAATCGACCTCCCCCTCCCCCTCGCCTTCATGCTCACCTTCGACTGTAAATCCCCCCCCCCTGTCTCCTCCTCCTTATACTACTAGAAAACTAACCCACATCCAGACTTCACCCTCGCCATCGCCGAAATCGTCCTCACAACCCTCGCCACCCCGCAGCTCACACTCCTCATACCCATCCTCTTCCTCGCCCTCTACCTCCTCCAGCGCGTCTACCTCCAAACCTCCCGCCAAATCCGCCTCCTCGACCTCGAAGCCAAGTCCCCACTCTTCTCGCACTTCCTCGCCTCGGCCTCTGGGCTCGTCACCATCCGCGCGCTCGCCGTCACAGCCGCCGCAGAAGCCGAGAACCTCGCGCGCCTGGACATGAGCCAGCGCGCGTTCTACGTCATGGGTAGCTTGCAGAAGTGGCTCCTCCTCGTGCTCAATCTCGTCGTTGCGGCGCTGGCGGTGATGCTCGTGAGTCTGGCGGTTGCGCTGCGCGAGAGCGTGGATGCAGGGTTGCTTGGCGTGGCACTGGTTAGTGTGATGGGGTTCGGGTACTTGTTGATGCTGCTGCTGAAGTACTGGGCTGATCTGGAGACGAGCCTGGGGGCTGTGGCGCGGATCAGGGAGTTTCAGATGGAGACGCCTGCGGAGGTTGATGGGGATAAAGAAGTGGAGAGCGTGTGGCCTGCCCAGGGGCGTGTGAGGATTAGTGATGTGTCTGCTGCGTACGACGACCACCAAGTTCTGCGGGGGGTTAACCTGGACATCCAGCCTGGTGAGAAGGTGGCGATATGCGGGCGGACGGGGAGCGGGAAGTCGACTCTTCTCGCGCTCCTGCTCCGCCTGCATGACCCCTCGCCTGGGAGTATTGAAGTGGACGGGGTGAATATCTCGACGGTGCCGATTTCACGGTTACGAGAGAGTCTGGTCGCGCTCCCGCAGGACGCGCTGTTCCTCCCTGGCTCCGTCCGCCGGAACCTCGACCCACTGGACAAGCGCGAGGACGCAGCGGTGTGGGAGGCGCTGGAGAAGACGCGCCTCAAGGGCCTCTTGGAGGACAAGGGCGGGCTGGATGTGGACTTTGAGACGGAGTGGTTGAGCGCGGGGCAGAAGCAGCTGTTCTGCATGGCGCGGGCGATGTTGAGGGAGAGCAGGGTGTTGTTGCTAGATGAGGCGACGAGCAGGTGTGTTTTCTGTTGCTGTGGAGTGATGTTGACTGACGTGTTGGCAGCTTGGACCAGGCGACGGAGAAGGTGGTGCAGGACCTTATCAGGAGCGAGTTTGAGGGGTGGACTGTCATTGTGATTGCTCACCGCTTGCAAGCTGTGGTTGACTTTGACAAGATTGTGGCGCTGCAGGATGGGGAGGTCGTCGAATTTGATCACCCGAAGACGCTGCTTGAGCGGGGTGGGGTGTTTGCTTCGTTGTGGAAGCTTCAGGAGGGATGATTCCCGTAGACCTGGACATGCGGTACGATGTTATCGCAACGCCGCGCGATAGAGTCATAGAAAGCTTTTCTTTGTCTATTATCCTCATTAATCTCATATCGTTTTCATCATCTCATCCATAACCATCCCATCCCTTATTTCTTCATAATCCCAACAGCCTCCTTAGCCAACCCCTTCACCTCCTCATCAGCAACCTCACCCTGCGCCGCCGTGAACGCCTCCGTCCACACGCCCCACCTCTCCTGGTTGAACCCCCTCCACTCCTTGCCGCCAAACTTGCCGCCCGCCTGGCCCGTCTTGGCCTCGAGCGTGGCGTCGCGGGCGGCGAGCTTCTGCAGCGTCTCGCCAGAGTACTTGATCCAAATTGATGCCTGCCTCAGCGCGGCGCTCTTGTCGGCGCCGGCGGGGTGCTCCTCCTCGAAGGCTGTGCGCAGGGCCCACAGGCCGTAGGTGGAGTAGTCGAGGGGGTCGGCGGTGCCCTCGGAGACGGAGGCGCGGGAGGTGAGTTGTGCGAGGAAGGCGGCGAGGTTGTCCCAGGATTTCTTGTCCTCCGTTGAAGCGGATGCGTCGGTGACGTCTGCGGTGTTGTTAGCAAATGCAAAAATTCAGAGATTAAAGGCCTCATTGAGCGTTTCCCGATTAGGCAGGTTGATATCACACTGACACCAGCAGATCAAAAACGTGGAGTTTGAAGATTGTGAACGCACCAAAATTCCAGAGATCGCGAGCAACCCAGCCAAAGGTAGGCAGATCCTTCCACACGACGCCTTCACTCAGGTGCAGCGCCTGGCCGTCGGAGCCGGTGACGGTGGTCTCGCGCAGGCGCTGGACGAAGTCGACGAGGGGCGCCTGCTTTTCCGGGGGCGTTTGCTTGGCGGTCGCGAAGATGGCGTTGTACGTGTCCCAGAGGAAGTCCTCGAGGGATGACTCGGCGGCCTTGGCGAGGTCGTTGTATTTCTGGAGGGTGTCGTCGAGGGCCTTCTTGTCGCCGCCGGTGGTGAGGTAGGCGTCGAGGGCCTTGTAGGCGGGGAGCCCCGCAATGGCACTATTCACGCCCATGTTCTTTTTCGAGTTTGGATGGGTTTGTGGTTGATGAGTTGGGGAATGGCTGCGAAGAGATGTTGCAGTAAAAAGAGAGATTGAGAACGGTGACGTGGTGTTAACGGCCGTGTGGAAGATGGACGTAGACCTTGGAAGACGAGGAAGGCAGCCCACGTGGAGGCGTATTGGCCTCACTGACGTCGATCTCCAAGCACCGTGCCTGCCCAGCAAACACTGTGTGCAACGGCCCCGCATCTACCTCATTTCGGCTCAGCTTGCCACGTTGCCAATCAAATCAACGTGAATGGAATCGCACTGGGCAATTGCTAATGGAAAGGTCCGGCGCGCTCCGGGCTCCGCGTCAGGCGCCGTGGCACCGCAGGATAAGGTAAGGCGAGGCGGGATGCAACGGCACGGCACAGGTCGTGGCACAGGGGAGACGCGCAAGCCCCAAGATCGCGAATGTGGCTTTGATTTGCTGACACAGACACAGAATGCAAACAACGTCTCGCCTTGTCTCTGCGTGCATCGAGTTGTTTGTGTGTTTTGCATTGGGCGGTTCGGCTGCTCGGCCCCTTCCGCAAAAGAATCGAGAGGGGGCGGTAATTAAAGTGGAGCACTGCGTCCGGGCGGCCTCTCCTCAAGATTAAGCTTATGTTTTCTTTTCATTTTCGCAGGATTTGATTGGTGCAGACGACGCCGCACGTGATGTTGGCTTCGGTTCCTCACTCAGCGCAGCTCGTCAGGGAACCTCTGACACATTTTTGGGCGGGAGCCAGCGCATGTCAGGCACCCGAGGGACCCGTCTCGCCGGCTTGGGGGCATCTTTGAGGCGTCCAAGGGACCAGGACAGCTGAACGAGACGCCATCAACGGTCGGCAACTCACTTGGCGGACGGGAACCTTGCGCCGGCCAAGCTCTAGGCGACCCTCTCGGCGCCATCTGTTGTTTTCTTTGTGGCTTCTATTCTCAGTTTTTTTCTGTCTTGGACAACATTCCCATCTACGAAACACAATTGACGGTCAAGACCATCCGCCGGACAGTTTTATTAATCGCGGGCCGGCCCTTCCCTTTCACCCATCCACCCTCACTGCGCGTCTCAAATCCGTTACAGCAACAAACGCTCCCCGTCGCGAGCCTCACTCTTATCCTCTCAACAACCTCGACTCATTAAATTCTCCTCAGCTCACCTCCACCGTCGCATCGACCACAGCTCACCCCAATCTCATCCCACCCACCATGGTCAGCCTCAAATCCACCCTCGCCGTGGCCCTCTGCGCCGTCCTCGCCGCCGCCAACCCCATCGCCCTCGAAAAGCGCCAGGGCACCACCGGCCTCGGCTCCATCCGCTGCGGCGACGCCAAGTACTCCCGCAAGCAGGTTGACGAGGCCGTCGCCGAGGGCTGCCGCCTCTACGCCAACAACCAGCAGGTCGGCACCAGCGAGTACCCCCACCGCTTCAACAACCGCGAGGGCCTCACCTTCGACAGCTCCGGCCCCTACCAAGAGTTCCCCATCATCTCGTCTGGAAACTACACTGGCAGTAAGTCTCCCGCCAACACACCCCCGCATCCCTTGACTCGCAAACACCACCTCTTGGCATTCGATATTTGGGACTAACGTGCACCGCGCAGGGGCACCCGGCCCCGACCGTGTGGTATTCGACCCCGACTACCGGGGCAGCTGCGTCTTCGTCGGCGCAATGACCCACACCGGCGCCGTCCAGCGCAACGGCTTTGTGTCGTGCAATGAGTCTTCGTCAGGCAGTGGCAGCGGCAGCTCGGCGGCTTCGAGTATCACGACCTCGGGTTCATTTGGGGTGATCCTGCCTGTGCTGTCTCTGCTTGCCCTTACCGCTTAATGAAACCAAAAAAATAAACAGACTTCCGGCTTAATGGACTAGAGGGAAAGGAAATAATGGTGGCGGGGCACATGTTGGCCCTGAGAGTTACCGAGGCGACTGAGCTGGAATTTGCCGGTGCTCGGGTTCTAGGTGGACCGCTGGAAGGTTTGGGAAGTCTGAGCTAGATCCACAATAATGAAGCTGCGGTCATATCTTGCTTTTCTCATGTTGACATTTGCTTTCGGTGACTCACTGATTCGAACGGGGTGACCGTTCCTAGGTAAGCATACCAACAGATTTAATCAAAGGTATTGAAATCTCCATATGAGATGTTGCGTAGATTTGTGAAGAAAACTTAATACCTTACGCTACCGATGGCTTCGACTTGCTTCGACTTGAGATGAGACAGGGTTCTGCTAAAGCTATGCCCAGAAGCCTTTCCAGCTGTTCATGTCCGGAGGAGCGCGGAGCTAAAAGCTGAAGAACTTGGACTAAAGTCATATCGTGATTCTCCAAACCGGCCGACGTCTGCTGTTGCTCTTGTTGGAAATTGCTCGCGGACCGTATCGTGTGTTTCCTTTTCCTGTCCCAGACTGGAGAATCTCGCCCTGAATCGCTAGCACGTCGGAGACATGGATCCTAAAATCTTTGAGCTTGCTTCAGTTCAACTATGGATATCTAGTGATGTTGAGAATCTCATTCGGTGTCCGACACGATTACCTGCAGGTGTAGCCATCCAGTCTTTCACTCTCAGGCGTGAAGGGCTTCAAATCAGGTTGAATGCACCAATCCGTACATTAACTACATTGAAAGTTCAGAGCTACTATACCATGACTACCTGAAATCAAACGCTTCTTATGCGTACTTCTTTCAGTCACTCTTTTACCATCTACTATTGGCCCTCGTTACCTAGAGCGGTAAGGTGGGTTCCCAAATTGGAAAGTTCCACCTCGATATTACGGACGGGCTCAACATGCGAAGGCTGGCAACGTGGTGACTCATTAACTGCGCAATTGCTGTCGCCTGAAACAGATGTTGGAGACGTAGAGGTTTCGCTTGCCTGTCGGGAGTGCTTCGACTTAGTTTCATCGTATGATCCTGCCTCTGAAGGAGCTGGACTTGTTGTCGGAGACTAATATTCTGTGAGTAAAGGCGGCGGGAAAGGATTTGACCAACAAGAGTGGTCTGAAGACACGTACTTTCACTCGCAAGACCATGGGAGTCTGTGCGCTATCCTTGTCCTCCATACACGTTTCCAATATCTTATGGATCTCGGCTATGATCTGTTTACAATCCGGCCTATTATTCGAAATAGGCATAAGCATTTGGCTTTCGATGAAATTCAGGAGTTCTTTAAGCTGTGCCGTGCAAGTCTCGTGTCCGCGTAGCTTCGTGATCCACTGCAGAGTTGAGAATTCTAGTTAGACAAAAGAGATAATTGTTCACAAGACGCGTGGGGCTTACAGTAGTTACTGAAGGTTTTACCTTCGCTTTGAATGTCTGAGGAGATTCCATTGACCTTTCAAGTATGAAAAACTTGTCTTCACTGACTTGTTTGAACTCCTTCTCGCAATTGACGCGGGAATCTGTAAAGGCTTTTTGCGTCGCGGAAAATCCCAAGAGAAACCATGAAACAAATTCGAGGAAAACGCAACCAAGGGACCACACATCGTATTTTGGAGATATGTCTTCCCCGAGATCTAGCTCTGGAGGTCTGTACGTACCAGAGCAGCCAAGAATTGACTCAGCGCGTACCTTTGATCTCGATTCTGTCGTGTTGAAGCTCGTGAGGCCAAAGTCGGAGATGACTAAGAAATCTTTAAAAGTCTCGTACTCTTGGAACCAGAGAATATTCTCAGGCTTGATATCGCCGTGGCGCCCCCATCTCTTGAATTTTCCTTGTTGTATCTCACTCCATGTGTACTTGGGTCCTGCCTTGGACGGATCGTGGAGACTGGTCAGTGTGTGAACTTTATGTAAACCTGTCGTAAGGTTCTTGCATTGATGCAATAGCCACATGATACCGTTTTTATTTTTTGGATTGCGTTCGTGTTTCTCCCAAAATTGCCGGAGGTTTCCATCAGCCCATGGAAAGACAAGGAAGTAGCGATCCCCATGAAGATAACTGAATTGGAGCTGAATCAGATGTTCCGGTTCCTTGGTTGGGCTTCGGGCGCCGATATTTTCGAAAAGCTGTATTTCTTGCTTATAAGCCTTTTCTGTCACGCCGTGAAGCTCCTTGATCGCAAAACTTTCCCTTGTACGGTTCTGACATCAACGGTCAGCTTTGGTGTCTGCCTCAAGAAGATCTTTACATACCTTGAAACCATTGACGTTGGTGTAATGAGCGTGATGAATATTTGCTTTCCTGATGCTTCCATATCCTCCAACCTGTTGTAACTCGTACTCCAAGAATGGAAGTGTAGGTCTTTCTTTCAGGCTGTGGAAATGAATTTTCTCATGCGCCAGTTCGAATAAGGGGATACACATCGTTCTTTGCCTTGATTCAAAGTCTTCCATATCTCTATAGGACCAAAAATCCGAAAGCTTTAAAGGCATCATATTGTCGTTGCGACAAAGCTGTACATTGACCTTCGAGTTCTGTAACCTTCCCCGCTTAACCTTCAGGGGAAGATCCTTGTCCGAGATGTTGTTATGTATAAAGTCGTATATAAGTGGTATCTTCTCCATCATAACGAGGATCGCAAAGACCTTACGCCTCGAGTCTTGGCCCAAAACCTTGGTCGTCAGTTCGGCTATTGTTGACTCATCGGCCTTTTTGAATGCGACTCGAAACAGACCGGTAACCACCTCCAAATCGATGATCTCGCATAGCATATCGTAGGGCAGAAACTCATGGTCGTCCGACTTTGATGTTTCAAACGATCCTCTCATGCGATCAGCGATATCTCCGGCATTGAATATCGTTGGGTTCGATTGATAAGATAGGCTGTCTTGATCATTATCGGCCGGGACGTTCTCCGAGAAGCCGGAATCTGCGTAGTTCGGGCGCTTCCCTCCGTTCGCTTTGAATTCTGCGCTGCTTGAATCGGTCAAGTTGTGCGAGCCTAGCAATGGAGACACTCCCAGTGACCTATTTGAAGATGACTGGCAGTCTTCATCGCTGATCACGATGCATATTTCATCGCCGATGGGCATAGAATCGGTCATGGTGATCTCAATGATAGCAGAACGTGTGGTAATGCGCACTGTGCCAGGACTTTGATGCCAATGGCGAGTGCGCTGAGGTTGCACTCCAGTAAAACTCCAAGGATAGTCAATCATCCAGATATATCAGGTTTCTGGTCGGTCTATTTAAGCCTACTGCACCGGCCGATTTTCATATCAATCTACGATTGGTGTCCAGCCTACCTCCACCGAGGCCTCAATTCATTATCGTTTGCTAAGGAACATTTCTGAACTGGGGTTCTCGACTGAAGATACATTTCCCACCACCACCATGATCATAAACTGACCGAAACCTAAGACTTGTACTGAAGTGCCACCCCATCGTGGTGGCTTAGTATCCAGACGTCGGTGAATCTTGCTAACTCGTGACCATTATACGAGGGCTGAACAACAGGCTGCCAGGTTAGCAAGGTCTCTTTCACAGTCGACAGACAATGCATCCTTTGCAGGGAGTACTCAGAACGATGCACTCATGCCTATTTTAGCGTTACAAGTGTGGGCAGGAGGTGCCAAAAGCTAGGGGGATCGTCCAGCACAAGGTCTTGATTCCACCACACCTTCCTAGACACAGCCTGATACGAATTCAATAATTTCTAAACGCGGCATGGGGGAAATGGGAGGGTGGTCAGCATAATCAGGCGTTCTGCACTTTCGATCCAGGCTGCGGCGCCAAGGGATTCTCATGTGCAAAACATGCGGCTGAGTGCAGGGCTTTTTGTGATGTTTTTCTATTTTTTTTCCAGCACACGTGCGACAAGCTGTCGCTCCTACGAGGCAGCAGGAATGAAATTCTAGCCGGCAGATGCTTTGCAACTAGAATAATCATGGCGAGGCCTCCATGAAAAGGTATATCAGTGTCCAAACTCACGTCCACAAGCCGTGAAATTGTCTAAAATATCAGGCCTTGCGCATCATACGACGGTTCTACCACAATGACATCTGATCAAAGTCCAACAAAGCTACCCAGCTCAGAAAGCACAGCAAATGATATTACTTTTGAGGTACATTCGAATCTTGTGAGCTCAACGGATCTTCTGGACGTTCTCACGAAATGCTTCGAACGGGACAAGTTCGCCGTAGAGATGAGGCACAGTATTTTTATAATCAAAGTCAAACAACCTCAAACGGAGAAAGAGAAAGCATCGCTAGAAAGGTTTACTAGTGGTACGTAAACCATCATTAAGGACGCCATCCAACTGGGACCGTCCGAAAACAATGACTGATCTTACATTTTCTAGGGTGATGAATTTTCGAAACCTCCTCGACATTTCCAGAATCGCCTGTGTCCTGAGTTCATCATCAAGTCTGGGAGATCAGATAAGGATCGTCGAGCAGTACCAATCGCTTAGCAAAATAGAGTTCAAAATATCTCAATGAAATGGGACCCCATTTGAATATTCCTATAGCAGATCACTCATCGCACGTCGAGAGAGCAAGTCCAATAGCTGGCTGGGAGAATACGATAGAATGATGCGCAAGATAATAGATAGGCTGATGTTAGAACACATCGACTTCAACCCCTTCCTCGTTTGACATGTCGTTCGAGAGCAATCTTCCAATTCCAGCTCTCATGTACTGTCCGCTGACACCAGGTGCAACCGGCTTGAGGACAAGCACGTAGTGTTGGATATCCTCCTTTGAGCCTGTGGGTTTCTCTGTTCCCAGAACAATGCATGTCAGAGCTTCTTTTGATGTCCGAAGTTTCCTGTCGAAGGTGATCTTCTGTTCTAGGTCTTGCACATTTTCTCTGAGATTTCTCAGACGGCATCGTAGCACATGAGCAATGACGTCATCTTGACCAGCCTTCCAATGCTGTTTCCGTCCGCTTTTACTATTGAAAGGCGAATGAATGTTCTCGTTCCAGTCGACACGATCAAACGGCGCGTTCAAAAAGGAAATCGGGCCACTGTGAGACATCCAGGACCAGGATGGTATATGGGTATTCATAACACCAGTGATCGGAATCAAAGTTGACCCTTCTTGTCGTTGCCAAAGTAGACTTCTGTGCAAATATCGTTCAAAGACTCCAAATCCGCCTTTGGTATTAAAAGTCTTAAGAAGTCTTTCCTCGAGACCACGAATTGCCATGGGTCGATCGGACATGTGACTGAAACCGAGCGTTGAGTATATCTGGTAGAGATTTTGGAAGAGACGTATCCGTGCCCCCTTGAAATAAGCAAGAGCAGAGTTTGGGAAGTCGGAATCTCCAAGAAAAGCAGCCTTAGGGCTAAAACAACAAGTAAGCGTTGACAGGTCTTTTGACCGCTTTCGGAATGAGGACATACTTGACTAGCTTCATCATAGTCTCGCAGTGGATTCCGCGCCCACACTCCCAGTAGACCTGAGTTGAAGTGAAGTGAATAGTGCGTCGTGCGAGCGCTCTTTCTTGGAGAACCCAGCCCCTTTGATTAAGAACAGATCCCTCAACATCGCGGCGGAAGTTATCTATCGATTTGCGGATAAAGACGGTTCTACCTGATGGCGTCTGGATTGTAAGAAACGGTAGTTGCTTTCCTCGGGAATTGAGAAAGCCTTCCGATGACGATTTAGCTGAACTGGCAGCAATCGTGATGCTTGCGGAGCTGAATACATGCTCCATGGAGACAGCTTCCAGCTTCCAGTCGAGTGGATCATCCTGGACTATGCAAAGTGAGTCTATCCAAAGGTAACGGAACCCAAGCACCCTTGTTACTTCGATTGCATCCTTGAAGGTCTTTGGTAGCTCCTCAAATTCGATGCATGTTTCGAGATTGGTAATGTTGCTTTTGAGGGTTTTGAAGCATTGTGTATTGCCCCAGCAATGGCTCAACGCAATATATTTACCGGAGGTGGATCCTTCACTGCAACGAAGGCGGAGATTGGGTTGGCCTTTGGTACCAACATCCAGTACGCGGGTAGGAAGCTTGGGTTCGGGTTCGAAGGGATGATCGTGATGTTTGTCGCAAACTCGCACCCATTCTTTGAGAAGTGTAGTCTGGAACTCGCTGAGTGGTTCGGAAAGCTGGGCGCGTCCAAGTTGCGTGAAAGTTGGAGCAAAGTCGTGATCATCTATGAAGTCGTTCAGGAGTTTTCTTGCACAACACAATGATATAGACTATCAAATACAACAATGGCTTACCTGGGTTGGCGTAAATCGATAAAAGAGTTGGGCCGTGAGGCTCTATCCTAATTGTTGACTCCACTCGGCGGCATTTGAGCTCGTCGCTGTCATTGAGACCATATTCTTTCGCGGTCTCATAAAGCAAATCGCAAGGTCTGCAGACTCCAGATCGTTCCCTAGTCTGGTTCATCCGATCGCAAAATGTGAAGTTTGCAGTCCCAACCTGAAGACATTTTGAACACAGCTTCGAATAAGGCCCCGGAGCGGACGGCTCGTTACTATGAATGATGTTGAAAAGGCCTTGTGCGAAACGGTTGTCGATTCTTGGTTCCCATTGGTCATTTAGCTTCGTAGCCTCCTGTATCACGAAGGAATATTAGCTGATGATCGTTTTGACCCAAGATACCTCATACGTACGGACTGTTGTCGTTAGCAACCTTGTATCTCGGGATTTAGTGGATTTTGCTGACTGCCTGTGAAGCAGCGTCAGCAACTCTCTGGTTCCGGCACAGTGTACACGTCAAGCCGGCTTTGGGTGAGGAAGCCTAGGGGTGACAACATTCTGTGATATCATTAGATCTTCATCTGATCTTGTCATTTATAAGTTGGCTGCTACGTACATACTGGGTCAAGTAAGTTAGCTTCCGCACTAAATTTCGTGGCTGGACAAGGCCCAAATGCTGAACTCACTTCTTCCTCTCGTCTGAATGGCTCGGAAACTTCAAGTTCTCTTGTGTTCATGCTATCAATGCCCGGGCTACGTATACTTGCGATCTCCGATACTACAACGCTCCCATTAGCTACGTCTGAGAATCTTCTAAAGAAAATCCTGACCAGTTGCGACTATGTTCTGGAGGTAATCTTTCTCCTGCGTATCATTGTCTCTGATGCTCCGAAACTCATGGCAAGCTTCAGAGGCATCCGCTCGATCCTTGTAGGCCGGCACAAGCATCCTCTTAGCAACGAAATCCAGACAGCGCTTCAGAGCGGTCGCACCGCCGTAAAGAGCAAGCTGGGCTCGTATGTCTTCAATTTGTCGATTCACTCTGGTACTTCTCTGATACTTGCCCGCGCTAACCTCCCAGAATGGCGCGTTGGAGTTGAGAAACTCAATTAGCTTGCGTGATCCATAACACGTCCAGACCAAGAACTCGAGAAAGACGCAACCAAGAGACCAAACGTCAAAGACACGAGAGATCTGCTCGAGCTTCTGCTGTAGTTCAGGGGCTTCATACCGCTTAGTGCTGGTTTTTGCACTCGTGATGATGTTTAGCTCCTCTCGCTTCGTTGTTTCATTCTGGTGTATTTTAGCAAGACCGACATCAGCAATTCGCAGGCGCCCAGGCAGTTCGCCCTCAATGAATCGGAGGATGTTTGCTGGCTTGAGGTCCGTATGGCGACAATTCTTCTGGTGAAGGGCTTCTGTAGCCCCGCAAAGGCCACAGAGTTGGTTCAAAACCCATTGAATCTCTGAGTCTCCTTCGGGCCGTGGGCTGCTTTTCCAGTAATCCTCCAATGTTCCGCCGTTGGCCCATGGAAAGAAAAATCCACATTGACCGCCTCGCGTGTATGCGGCCAAAGGCTGAATCAAGTGAGGATGTTTTAAGTCGTGGATGATGCGAAGGGCTTTTGACTCCTGCTCGTAGTAGAGTTTCATGTCGGGGTGCATTTGCTTGGAGGCAATTTGCTGGCCTCTGTATTCAGCCTGGTGGGTGGTTTTGTGAGCCAAAGTGAGTAAAACCATGTCTATTGGGCTCCATACCTGTATGTGCGCTTGGTGTATTGTCACCCTAATCACAACACCAGAGTACCCCACCTTCTGGGTCGAAGTGGTTTTATCCATGATAGGAATAGGGCAGTTGGGCGAAAGGTGGTAGTCGAATACGTTGGCTTCGAAAACAGGCGCCATGAAACACCATTGTTTCTCATCGAAAGCTTCCACGTCTCTCTTGTCTTTCCACGTAGAGAAACAATCCCACAGCTTTTGACCGCTTTCCTGGGACTGTGGCGACATCTTGGTGTAAACACTGTAGCGTTTGATGGGTTTCTTCCACGTCGTCTCAATTGGCAAGTCAGCATCATGGAAACCGTCTTGCTGCAATGAGAACAAGTGCTGCACATGGCCACAGTATACCAAGATCAGAAACACCCGTTTCGCCGGATTGCGTTTGTCGGTGACATATCTCACGAGGGAGTCGATGTTGGCTTCATTGGAGAGATATTCGTAGTTGGCTTGGAGATAATTTCGAACATGGTCTTGAGCGGTAAGTTCATCGATAGCGTCATTTGGTAGGAATGTCTTGCTGTCTTCGGTTTTTTTGATGCGCCCGCGAATTTCGTCTTCAATATCCATGGCTGCGCTTAAGTTGTGATATCCTGCGACGGGTTGTTGATGAGGATGGTCTAGACGATCGTAAAGTCTGCTAACCGGAAATGCTTAAAACGCCGAAGGCCGGGGTCTTTTTCAGTGCAATACTTGTCAGTAGGCTGCTCAACAAGCTTGACGTATTATTTCTCTGTGTGTTCAGCCTTTGGGTGGTGTAATGCTGGTGTGCACACTGCTGGGACGATGGCTCAATTGAATTCGGCTGAGTGCGTTAGAGGTCATGTGGGATGATGGGGAAGAGAATGACAATCACATTCGATATTTCAATGAGCTCGTTCGGCAGCCGCTACAGAAGAGCATGCTCGATGATGATCATGAATTTCGGAAAGCGAAATTAGAGCATAGCGTCAGCTTTATGATAAAACTTCAGCCGTTCGTCCTGTCCGACCCCGCTACAATTCCCCGCTCCTTCAATGGAAAAAGCGGCCACACCAATCAAAGGACCAGCATCTAAGCCAACGCATTGCTGATGTGTTGACATTGAAGGGCATAAGTACCGTGCATCGCACAATGCGCAAGGCGGTGCGCTAGGCCATCTTTATTCGCCCGCAATTATGTTTCGGCAAGCCTATCCGACGCCATCATCTTACTAAGACTGCTGCAGACTGTGTTGCGATTCACAAGAAACTATGGGAAAGATTGCCTCCACTGTCTTACCGAGTTCTTGTAGAGGCGTGAATCGACATACCGTTGGTCAGCCTGATTCTGACTTGCATTCAATATCGCAACAACTGGAAAGTGCAAAAGCGGGCAAAGTCGGCTACAGGCGCATGGACCCTAGTCAGGTAAGGCAGCCGGAGGCCTCTTTTCGTCCTGGTGGTTTGCTCTGCCAAGCCCTCTCCGCAGCTTTTGTACAGCACCACTAAGGTGCATGGAGACAAGAATGCCAAACGTGTTCGGAATCGATTTACATGCCTTCTGGCATTGTCGGTGCATCCGAGTCGAGCAGTCTGAACATGAAAGCTTCCTCAATCGAAATTGCTTGGCGACGTGACGATAGGCTAGGTTTTGAAATACAAGTTCAATTCACAACGATTACAGAGAATGGGCATTAATATGAACGGAATTAAAAGACTGCGTAGCCTCTATATACAAAAAAAAAACGTGTGCTTGGCTAGAACAAAAGTTCACAATTGGAGGTTCGCATCCTGACCTACCTGAAGGTAATAGCTTCTGCTGCTCGAAACTTCGAGCCACGCGACCGCCATACTTTTTCAGTAAATGTTTCGTGATAGGAAAGCCTGGTAGTAGCATGTGTAAGTATTTTGAGGTGGGAAGTCTATCTCGCGGTAGCAAAGCCACACCTGCAACACTGACTTACCGAAAACAGAGTTAATTCATTAAAGAAGCTAGGATGTATTATGCAGAGTGAACTAGTGGAACCAAAGACTTCTGAAAAACAAAGAGTTAGGGAGTAGTGAAGAATGTTCTAAGCTCCCAGGAATCGACTGTCCGCATTTTGTCGAGAAAGGTAACTAGTCTACATAGTTGTTCACTGCTTAGTTAAGTTCTACTGATGAACCGTAAGTTCTATGGTGTGGATGTCGTGAGATTATTCTGTACCAGATAGTCCTTGGAAAGCCTAGTCTCACTTTCAACTCACGTTCGATAACTCTCCATTGCTGGTCTTTTTGTAGCGCAAATAGTAGTGCTCTACTAGCTGCCATATATAGTATAGACCTTAACCTCAGTTGTAAGATTATTATGATTGATCATACAGCCGAGACACTTGAAATGCATTCCGTTAAGTTTCCTTATTGATGTGTAAAAGCAATGCAGAGAAGGGTGTACTGAAGTAGGGCTGGAAAACACGAAGTGGACAGTAAGACCAGACCATTCTTACGCATTGATTAACGAGACACTTGCGACAGTCGCCGCAAGAAACCGTTTTTCTTCACAGTGGGGTCTCTGTGCTGAACCAACGGTAGCACCGAGAAAACTGCCCTTTCACGACCATCTATACCTGCCCAAAGCTTCCCATAGGTGAGTAGTTATTATATTTATCAGACTTCCAACAAGTCCATTAAGGGAGGTGAATTGTGGACATGGGAAGAGGTCACAAATGGAAGGTAATTGAGAATGATCAAGAATGGAGAGAAGTTTGTCTGGCACAACATGCCTAAAACATAGTATTTGAAGGTTTTACTATTGAGTAGGTAGTCCTGGGCTTTCAACCTGGCTTTCTGAGACGGCCAACTTAGTGCACAGCCTTGCTGAGTGCCCCTTGACCTTTCTGAAAGTCAATCCACTCACACAACTTCTGTATCTTCTTTCCATCGTCCGTCATAGTAACCACGAACAGACAATCAGTGCCGTATGACCCAGCCGCTGTCTCGCCCTTGCTAGTGCACACCATGGTCACCGTTCTCTTCCCCACATCAGTGAACATTTCATTAATGGTGATCTTGAATGACTTCAAGTACTTCAAGTGCTTGAAAATGTTTGCTGCACGGTCATTGGTTCGAAACCTGTACCTAAAGTTAATGGAGTCCTTTATTGAGAGATGGAAAAAGCCTTGGCCATGGACCTACTGTTCTCTGTTCACTGGGTAGATACTGTTCGTATCCGGATGAACTGCGTAGTGAATATCTTCGGTCCATTTGGACACAACGTTTTCAATCGAGCGGCTTTCCAAGTCTTTAAGCCAGCCGGAGGCAGTATCCTCGAGGGTTTCCTTGATGGACATGATCGGTTTTGGTTTTCAAAGAGAGGGTATCTTGGTGAGAGTAGTGAATGAGCAAATTGTTGATGAGTCTGGGCAATCTCCGAACCAAGACAGGACCGGGCGACGTCCATTTAAATATTTTTGCCCTAAATCTACACATAGTAGGCAACGAACACGAAACGCGGCAGCTTCATCAGTGCATTGTCGTTAGAAATCGAAAGTCCGCCCTGCTTTGTCAGGATATTTGCGGAGCATTCAGTACTTTCGCTGTTACTCAGCTCTCCACTGCTCGCTTTCGGTTTCCAAACTCAACCAACCGCCTTGCTGAAGTAGACGCTTAGACCAAAATACAGCTTTGCCATTGGACCAGTTCGTTACCAAGCCTATCTCATAGCGGCGCCGGCAATAGAACCCCAGCTAATTGATGGCCAATGGGACGACAAGAGCTTCCCTAAAACTGAGCTTCGGCACATGCCCACGATAGCTTCGCAACCGCAATCCGCGCGTCGCGCGCGGCGCGCTTTTAGCCACGAGACGCACTTTTGCGCACTTGCGGACTGCGTCTTGCAAGTGGCGGAATTGCGGACTTGACAGTCAAATCATCGAGAAGATCTTCAGGGGTTTTGAGATTGGGTTGGTTTGTAATTCGCGAATATCAAGCCCTTGCTCTGGAGTGTTCCACGACGCATAACACTTAAAAGGTGGCTGTTCTCAGTTGCAAGTAAGACCGCGTTGGTAATAAGAATACTCAGTTTTTGTTTAAGAAACATTTTTTGAGTCCTTCTTATTCGACGTGAGCTTTTGCAAAATATCTTCTTCACTCCAAGAAATCCTCCATCGCCCACGACTACCTAGACATCATGCCTTCCCAGAAGCTCCTCATTACCGGCGCAACAGGCTACATGTGAGTCTCTAGACCCAAAATTATTTTCTCGCGATTCGCTAATATGACTAAAGTGGCGGCACTGTGCTAACCCAGTTGCTGAACTCGACGGTTCCGGAGGCAAAATCCCTCTCTTTCAGCGCCCTGGTTCGGCATCAAAGCCAAGCCGGCATCTTCGCTGAGAAGGACATCCAACCAATCTTGTTCAGCGGCTTGGATGACACCGCAATGCTTCGACAAGCAGCGGCTGACCACGATGTCATCATCCATATCGCCAACAGCTTTCACAAAGCTTCGGCAGAGGCTATGCTGCAGGGTCTACATGACAGAAAGGTCAAGACAGGAAAGACTGGTATATTCATCCACGTAAGGAAACTGCAAAATTACTCGTCTTCTTCCGCTCAAAGTGTGAGAGCTAACATGATTACTTAGACTTCCGGAACCAGCAATGTTGCTGACTTCCCCATCACGAAGAAGTATCGTGGAACTCGAGTCTTCTCCGACAAAGAAGATATCTTCAGCCACGAGAAGTCCCTGGACCTCCAAGAACCCTATCAAAATCGTTCAGTTGACATCTTCGTCGCTGAGACTGGCAAGCGATTGGGAGTAGACACGTACTCCATCTGGCCGCCTCTCGTTTTCGGCATCGGGACTGGCTTCTTTAGGACGCTTTCCAATGGCCAGCTGCCCATGCTTATGCGCTTGGCCCTGTCCAACGGAGAATCTCAGTATGTTGGTAGAGGCGCCGGTCGATGGAGTCATGTTCATGTGGAAGATCTGGCCGCGCTCTATGAGACTGTCGTTGCCAGAGCCATTGCCGGGGATATTTCCCCTCAAGACCGAGCCATCTTTTTTGCCGAGACTGGGAGCAGTAGCTTCGCCGAAATGGCTGACGACATCGGAAGAGCCGGACTGAAGCTGGGAGTGCTCCAAAATGCCAAGGCCTCGTCAATGTCACTCGAAAGCATTGCCCGTGATCAGTTTCACGGGGATATGAACTGGGCCGAGATTGTCTTTGGTTCAGAATCGTTGGTATCTGCGAATCTCTCAAGGGAGATTGGATGGAAGCCGAAGAAGATGGCGGTGGATTGGGAGGCAACATTCATCGACGAATTTCGGTTGGTGCTTGGCGAAGCAAAGGGAGTAAACAAAACCAATTAAAGGATGGTTGTATTCGTTTTTCTCTTTGGGGTTTCTGAAACACGAATTTCGCAGATGTCAAAACTACGAAACGTTCCAATTATGACTTGATTTCGGTCGCCATTTCCAATTACCCTTTCCGGTAAATAGTAGCGCACGCAGCTCAAACTTTTCAATAGATCCAACCATAATCTTATTTGGCATGACACCTCCAGCTATAAGCACGAAGTTGCACTTTTTAACATTGTAGATTGGATAAGATGATAGAATACCTCTGTTGGCTACTTTGATCGCAGATGGCTGTGAGTGGAAGTAGGACTACAGCGAGTGCCGGCGGTACATGGGGGTACCCGTCGATAGCTGCAACTGCGGTGGCATCAATAACAAGCAGGGAGGCACAGTGACCAACGAGTGCTATTCGTGGACGATTGATTCCTAACGCCAAGCTGTGAGTGGAAGGATGAGGTGGTTGATGCACGTGCTGGCACATCGCCCCCGGTGGTTGCTGGTTGCAATTCACAAATCAGGATAGAAGTAGATCAGGTCAATCAGTTTAAGGGGGTTCTCGCTTTAAAACAAGATGCAAATCGCCTTTCTGTCTAATCTGTCAGTACACTTCATCTAACTAATTCTCGTTCTTTCCAAACCATTCGGAATATCTTGCTAAGTAGCCATTGACGCCAGAAATGGGTTCGGCGATCTGCTAACCTCTCTAATCCAATCATCCTGCTGGCGAATAACCAAATGATGAGGCATGTGATAGTCGACCATGAGTCTCGTCTCCGACGGCAGCGGCTCGTTCTCCATCACGTCTCCCATGGCGTTTAAAAGATCCGCACGCGAACTCAGAAGCAAGGGATGCACGGTTGAGAGGTAGTCATGAATCGTTACAAAAGAACCAACGGCGGGCCTCACCACCACTATAAAAGTTTTCCCGCGCGGCCTTCGGGTTCCGCAGCATTTCAGTAAATGCAATGGTCCGTCTTCGTCATAAGCGGGATCATAGTCGGGGAGAACCCCCAATGGGTGTCCAGGTCCGTCTCCTCCTCCTCAACCTCATCGGCACATTCGGGATCGGTATGCTCGCGTTGGCAATAACGCCACACGTCCTCCCACTCGTTAAGGTCATCGACGACCACGGTCATGGATGAGACCTTGGGTTCCGTGAGCGCAGCCTGCGAGAACGGGTGCCAGGCCTGGCTCTGGAAATAGGGCTCCAGAGAGCTCGTGTACCTTTCGGTTGCCATGATGTGGACAGCGGAGTCAAGCGGACCGTCAATACTCTAGAAGAGCCGGCGGGCCTCCGATGAAAGCTTTGGAGGTTGGTGAGCGGCGCAGAGTGCGTCGTGACTAGGAATAAGTGCTTCCCCCTCGAAAGTCGACATGTTGGTCTAACAGAGATTGATTCTGTGTGATCGAGGCACTGAAAATGATTTTTTGGCTTGTCGCAATGTCGAGCGCGTAATTTAGCCTTTGAAGACGTTGCTGAGAAAGGAAAACGCACGCCGCAGAGAAGCATGTTGGAGACGGGGTTTATATAGCAAGTCACTTCGCCAAAGTCCCGCGTATGGACCAGCGGGTATTACTTTGCGTCCGGTGCATAGAAACTCGAGGTATGGCGCGGTGAGCAACTCATGCCCACGGATATCTAGATGCACATCGTCAGTAGCTATCGTTAAGTTCGAAATCTTACTGTTGGGCATGGATGGACGGCTGGCGCTATTTGAACTAGGGCCTAGTGGTTGGGGTATGGCTCGATTGTTGCGCAGTCTGACGACAAATCCTGATGCAAGGAATGCCTCGGAAGTACCTTAGACGCGAAAGCTCTACATGTGTTGCATCTACGGTCTACTCATGCAAAGTTCAATCTACGACAAATATGTGCGTCAATGTGGTTCACTGCGACCCATCAACATCGCACGAGGATGAAGCTCAGAAACAAGACAAAGGGTCATCGTGTGAATACCTAGGCAGGTAATTGGTGTTCTATCGGTACTTGCCTGGTAGAAAACTGGAACTTCACCTCACAGGGCCCGCCGTAGCTTGCTGAATGTGAAGAAAAGAACTACGCCCCAGCGAATCAGGTCGTCGCGGGGTTTTACAATTGACTATAAACAAGATTTGGTAGGGAGTAAAATGTAAACATAAATACAGAATAACATCATATAGCTCCATCCTACATTCAAACAATGTTCAAATTCTTGGAACCCGTCAGCCTCAGCCGCTGGCGCTTTGCCTGGCTTGTTCAGCTTCCACCCCTTAGTAGTTCACCCGACCCAGATGGGCGCCGGTAAACTCTGCAAAGTAAATGGCGTCCGGTTGCTGGTTGTTAAGATCACATGGGGCGCTGACGCTAGTGGGAGTGACGTACTCCACGAGCTGCTGAGTCTCGGGGTCGTACTGTGCAACGCGGTTTCCAAGGAAGACCAGGTTACCCTCTACAAAGTAGACCTTGCCATCGTTACCAACACGGATCGGACCAGGCAACGCCAGTGCCCCGGAGGAACCGATGCTAATAAGCCCATTCTCAACCACAGTGGAGTTGCCCGCAGCGCGGATGTCGGCGATGAACATCTCAGTCACCTCGCCCGTTGTGACATCGATGGTTCCAAAGTTTCCACCGCCAGTTCCCGTCCACCAGATGAGGCCGTTCTTATCCGTCGCGACACCTTGAACCAGGGATAGCGGTGTTGGGATTTCGTACTCCTTGATCTCCTTGGTGTTCACATCAATGGTTCCGACCCTGTTGCCCAGGATTTCCGAGAAGACCATGGTGTTGCCCGGGCCAGCTTGGATGATAAGAGGCGCCGAGAGGGGGTTTGGCAGCGGGTACAAGTCGTACTTGTGGGTGTCAATGTCGAACCGACCAATGGCGTTGAGGCCGACGGACGTGAACCACGCTCCACGGTCACGGCCACCGGCGACGTCGATGGTGACGCGGATTCCGGCAGGGAGATTGTCGAGGACAGAGATATTCGTCCAAGGGAAGGGGTATTCGGTCATGCTGCCATCCTTCGGGTCCAATTTCACCATGCTGTTGCCAACGACTTCGGAAAACCACAGGTTACCGTCCGCCAGGAACTCCATGCCGCTGGGCAGTCCCACAGGGTTGTTCAGTGGGAATCTTGTTTGCTCGCCGCTCGTCAGATTCACCCGTAGGATCGTGTTTGACGCAATGAGTTCGACCCAGGCAATGTCGAGTTGGTCAGGGTGGAACTCCGTCTCGCAAGCGGTATCGAGTAAGGTGACAGCAGCATATTCCTCGAGTCCTTTCTCCCGTCTAGGCCGGTTATGTCCCGGAGTTGCACTGACGACAGTTGAGGAGCCGAGTAGAAGGCTGACGAAAGTTGAGGTCTTCATTTTTAACAAAATATCAACAGTAAAAAGAGCGACGATTAAGTTGGCAAATAAGGCGAGAAGGACTGACGATACCAAATGCTGCAAACTGATGCCACTCACTTACAGCGGGATATTGCTAGAAGTATATAAACACGCAAGATTCCCGCCAAGGGGTTGTTCACTTGCATACGTTTTGGGCAGAGAGAAATTTGACCTGGCAAATACGGTGCAATCCCTCCCTACACCGCTGGGTACGAATTCGTCCATTCGGCACGTGGCTCGGGGAATTTCTTGTGGTTGAAAGCTGACTCGGTTCCTCGTTGTCGGTACTTTTCTGATGTCCGCTGTCATGGAGTCTGCTGGAATCTGATGACTGGAACCCATGGCCGGGTAATGAGATGGAGAGTGTGCCATCAAAGGCGGGTCCTCCTATCCTTCCTTGTCCTCCTCTTAGAGACCCCTTTCATCTTCTAATTTTTGAGCCCAGGCCGAGAGCGGCCACCGGCCCTGGGAAGGTTGCCCCGTACAGAATTTCGGTTCGGCACAAACCGGGTCCCCCCAGGCTGTCAGACAAGGTTTCTTACGTCGCGGGCCGTCCTCAGCTACACTCAATTTGTCTAGCAGCCAACGCGTTTCGTTGTCTTCATCCTGTCTCATTACTCGTGACCTGTGTATCCTGACGCTAGCCGAACGAATCAAAAGACGGTGTTCCTCTACACCGTTGCGAGGAGATTCCCCATCCCACGGACACAACCCAAGTGCCAGAAGCACTGGATACAGCAACTGAAAGCAATTCTTTGGGAACTCCCGATCATACGACGCTGGTCAGAAACCCTCACCACCAGCATGGGCCCAAGTGACTGGGCCGCAGGCGACCCAGGTCAGGTGAAATGGCCCTATTGCCTAAAATGACACAGCAAATACCATAAGTGGCCAATGGCCTCTCCCTGGAGGTCATTGGGGGGCATAATGGGCATTTACGGGGCGGCGGGCATTCCAATGGTCTCTACTTAGGGCGCGAATGTGTTCTGGAGACATTGCGGAATGATCCCAAGAAGTGAGCGTTTCCCGCCACGGGAATCCATTCCGAAGTGAGTTGCGGCTTTTTGATACCACACCATGCTTTGACGGAAGCATCCGTCTTGGTATCAAATTACAAGCGTATCAAAAGGACTAATCAATGAGCTCAACAAATATTGAATGCCGATCAAAAGTCAATCCTCTCGTGAGCGACAATCATGGTCCTCCACTAGAAGTCCATCCCCTTCATGACACTGACTCGAGCATTCCTCCAACCTCGCCAGGGAAATCAGAGAACTCCCATTTCTAATATCCGTCGAGACTATCTTTCGCCCCCAAAAGCCGGGTCCGAGCACTATGCAGAATCCACCGGGTCCATAGCAGCTTACGAGCACCCTTGAGGAACGTAACGTGGGGTGAACTGTTTATCCACCGTAGCTCACAGACCCCCTTCACCAACTCTCAGTTGCTCATCTTGGGTGGGCAGGAAATTCAGCCACGGGCCCTCATTAATGTATCGAGCAAACCCACTCGCCTTCATACTATCACTGACCCAAGGTGAGACGCGACGGAGGGCATTGAGCCACCATGTGTCCATAGCCTCGTAGCGCGTGATGTAACCAGAAGCGTTCACGATGAGGTCGGCATGCGGCCGCTGCTTCTTCTCGTACTCGTCGAACGTGGTGGCCAGTTCGGTGGTGGTCGGTTTTCGCATGCGATCCTCCTCGCATCTGCGCAAGAGGGGCACGAGCTCGTTCATAAGATGCACAACGCCCTCCACTGCGAGATTGCCCCCTAGTCCCGGGTTGACAGTCGCCTTGTGCACTGCGTCCCCCAAAAGGACAACCCTGCCACCGGAATTCCATTTCGTCTGAAGCACTCCCTCTTCGAGCGCCACCATGTTCGCTTTGACTCGGGTGTCCCATAGGTCCTTGAAAGTGTATCCAGGGCCGAGGTTGCGGTCTCCATACTTCTCGATTGTGGCCAGTGTTTGCTCGTCGGTGAAGCGCGGGGTGTTCGGGGTCTTGGTGACTTGGTCACTTTTGACGAATAGAAACCAAAACACGAGATCGCGAACACCGGCAGCAGAAACGCCAGAAAAGCCGGGGTAGTAGACGTTGTGGACCATGCGCTCCGGAAGAAACAGTTCTCCCTTTGCGTTCATGTTCCTTGAGGTAGCAAAGATGGCGTGATAGGTGCTGACATAGCACTCACGCATCTTTTGTGCGGCGGCGGCATCAGTGCTGCCGAGCTTTTCTGCTAGGAGACTCCGAACATGGCTATGGACGCCGTCGGCGCCTAGCAAGATGTCCCCCTTCAGCTTCTCGCCGCTTTCCGTCGTCACTTCTACGCCTTCTGCGGACTCGACGAACGAGGCCACTCCGGAGTTCGTGCGGATGCGAGACTTGTCCTTGATGGTATTATAGATACAGCTAAGCCAGAACTTGCGTTCCATGAATGCTGTGCAGCGGCCGTGACACCTGGTGTTGTTCTGCTTCAGCCACTTATCCTTTAGAGCATGTGCATTTGACTTACTGCTTGGATATCTCCTGCAATATCGAAGAGTCCTCGAACAAGACGCCGTTCTCATCATAGTGTTGCCTGTTCTCAAGGGGTAGTACGCCTGCCCTGATCTCAGGCCATACCCCCAACTGCTCCATCACCCGCTGGGTATGCGGGTGAATGGAGATGGATGCTCCTAAATGCGGAGCGATTTCACGCTTCTCCAACAGGACGTAAGAGATCCCGGCCTTCTCCAAAGCCAGTGCAGTGGTCAGGCCCACCAAGCTACCACCTGCGATGATAACGTGGAACCTTTGTGCCGAGTCTGCCATGTCGTCGGTAAGCATTCTGTCAGAGGTATTCACGGTGTTGTCTGGAGCTGTTGTCCAACGACTTGGCTACAAGACCCTCCACACTTATATGCATTGTTACAGGGAGTAAGCCCTCGGCAGGAGGTACGTACTTAGGCGGCACACACCGCCTGAACAACGGTTGTGGATCTTCTCTATCTGCTTTGGGTCCTGGGCCTGGCCAGGCACACAAGTTAGGGGTGGAACGCATCAACACAGGGAAGAGATTTAATACGACACGTGCGTTATAAGGTCACGCCATGTAGTTGAAAATCTCCGACGTATTGAGAAGTCGCAGCGGCGCCATCCTAAAGCATTCCAGAAAACACTGATGCAGCGTGGAATGAGCCCCCATTAGACCCCGTCAATGATCACGCACTTCGGCGCCGCCGTTAAATCCTCACGGAGTGTGGGATTGATCGTCGCGGTAGCCGTTGGCAAGTTCACTGCTGCCAAGGGAGGTCATGCCGGGGGGCGTTTCCGGCAACATGATCATCTCGTACCCAAAGTCAAAAAAGTAGAGCGAAATGTGGAACCCCTCTGCCGTGTGTTGGTGCGCAAGCCAAACCAACCAGATACTTCCAGGTACCAAAGAAAGAGGCGAGTCAGGTCTGGTAGCGACAGCGAGCGCCCTGTCAGTCTGCAGGGCCGTATCAATGAATCCATCTCCTCGTGGCCGATCACTCGCTTACTACCTAGTACAGCAGCATCAAGGGTCTATTCCCCATATTCGGCATTTGCAGACAGACGGTGGAGAGCCCCTGAAGGATTCGTAAGTTCTGGCAGAAGTTCTGGCAGAAATTGTCGCCAACTCATATATAGTCGGAGTCAACCGGAGTTATGCAGGCTCCGTGTTTTCAACCCCCTCTTGGCACTTGTTGCTCTGTCACTGACCACAAGCTCCCCTCAGCCGATTCATCGCGGGCATCTTTTCCCGAATCCTAGAGATGTCAAACATTGGAAGTTCGGAGCTTGGCGCTGATGAGAAGTATGAGATCGCTGTCTCGTATGGGACCATCATATCAACAGGCGTTTTAGCAATCTTGGTTTGCAGCACGAGGGTATGTATTCGAAAGTGTGATAATCAGGAAAACTGCTAACAGTTGGTGTCATGAAAGCTTTACGTTCGCAAATATGTGATCAACGCCTTTGGAATTGACGATTGGGCTTGCCTCGTTGGTTTGGTGAGTTATCTTGTCAACGCTATCGTCCCTCAGGACCGCTAGTACTAATGATTGCGCTAGATCTCTGTAACCATGTTCAATGGCGTTGGGCTGGCTATTGTGCACTACGGCGTCGGGAAACACATTCAACATGTTTCACAAGAGCATTTGGAGATGTGGTTTTTGGTACATATTCTCTTTTCCTGGCTGATCAACTGAAGCTGCTTCTAATACGACCTTTCAGTTATACTACATCTGCATCTGCATATACTTGTTTGTTTCTCTAGCCGTCAAGTCCAGCATCCTTTTACTCCTGCGGCGAGTGTTCCCAACACGTAGGTTCTCTGCTCTATTGACATTTCTCTTTCCGTTGCATCCTGATCTGACCTTCTCTTTTAGCCTATATTCAACACACGACGCTCGGGTTGATGATATTCCTTGTGCTCTTTACGATATCGGGCTCGATCGTTGGAGCGTTTCAGTGCACCCCACCCAAATATGCGTATCAACTGGAGTTCCTCATGTCGCCCGACAGGGCAAAATACTGCTTCTCCACGGATGTTACCTATGGAATCTTCATGTACCAGGCCGCCACACTTTTTGCCTGTGACATTATCATATTCCTCCTTCCATTCCCGGCGTTGGTGAAACTACACATTGGCTCTGCCAAGAAGACGGCTCTCTTATTGGTCTTTGGAAGCGGCTTAGTAGCCTGCATCGCGCCCGCCATCAGGTTCGAAAGCATACAGTTCTATAAGTCTGGATCCTCAGACACAACTTGTAAGTTCGAACACTTGGCTTTCAAAAGACTTTGACGAGTCGCTAATGATTTTACTCCACAGACGCGGGAGCGAGTTCCTTGTATTGGATGGCCATTGAGTACAACCTTGGCTTGGTGGCCGGGTCTTTGGCGGGACTGCGGCCTCTGGTTTCCAAAGTCGTCACTGCGCTGCGGTCAAGCAGAGGGAATTCAGCCTACAAGAGCAATCAATTCACGCCATCTTATCAGCTCGAAAATTGCGACAATAAACACTGGAATTCTTCCGAGCGCAGTGGGACCAAGAACAGTAGATATCAGGGGGACAGCGTCCTCGAGGCCACGGTCTTGGGCGACCGCAGTTCCGATGACAGCGGCCGCCAGCACATACTAAAGACCCAGTCTGTCAGCATTATTACGGAGGAATCGGGGGACGTTTCTTCGCTCGGGAACGCACGTCTGCCCTGGCAAGGACTTGACCAGAAGAAGTAGTCATATCAATGTTAATGAGTTGTCAAGGGGTTTAGGGGGGTCTGTAAAAGTGACAAACGCTTCCCGGCTGGTTTCCGGTACTCAGATATCTCGACCAAGAAGATGATCCAGAACAACATATGTCCAGTCACCGACAGGATAATGGCCCAGTAGACTCCGAAGAGTCTCTGCCCTGCGGTAAAGTCGCCATCCATGGAGAAGATGGCAGAGACCGCAGGAAAAGGAACCGCCACCATTGCCAAGTTTGTTGATTGCCCTGCACTTCGAGCTTGTTGATTGTTGGTGAAGAAGCATCGCATATCGGCTTCCTTCGCAAAGTTGTCCATCGATGTCTCATGTGTAACCTCAACCTATTGTGGCATGCCGTCGATTATTTTCCGAAGTTTCTCTTCCGGGGTCAACTGTCCTTGGTTCCGGTTGTTTGCCAAGCCATGCGCCGACACGATAAGGTCGTAGGCGGTCCCGCATGGATCGAGGTCTGGTGCGAGGAAGGAACTTATCACGTATCGCATGACACGCCGTCTTTCGCGGATGTCGCGCCCCTCGTCAACAATCTTCTGGTAAGCTTGGCCATCGATGTCAGAGATGGCTAATGATAGCCTGTCGAAGTTGGAGATTTGGGCAACCATTGGGCGGGCTAGGTCCAAGAACAAGCAGCCTGGAGGCAAGGTGCGGTGGTTCTGCATGAAGATAGCGATCAGGCGACCACTCAGAAAGACTTTGGAAGGCGAGAGAAGGGTCGCTTCCCATGAGAAACTCGGAAATGTTGATGCTGATGCAGATGCATTGCATGATCATGAGTCTCTTGCGGCCACAGACGTGGGCTCTGGATCGGATTGGCTGCCTGATTGTGAGCCAAGAGCTAATGACGCCTAGTCAGCAACAGCGATGAGGGGAGGGTGGTCAGAAGCTAAGCGAGGCGGAAAGAGTACATTCAACAGGCATTTTCAACCAAAGTGAAGCTGGCCGGGAGTCATTGACAATCCGATTCGTTTTTGGACGGACAAGGACACTAGAGTTGGTTGTTGACGGATAACCGATCGGCGACGACTGGTTAACACTGAGAACAAAACATGTCAGCTACCGGGTGTTATTGGCATGTCATGATCTACAGAAGATGCAGCTCCGCCCCCACAAAGCCAGGATCTCATCAGATCCATTGGCAGGCATTATGCATGACTGCTGCCATCCATTCAAATACCCCTCTTTAATACCTCACCTCTAGAGTTACAGGCGCCTTGGTGCCCTGCATCGGGCTGACGGCTTCCTCTACAGCAGCCAGTGTAACAGCAAATGAGTGCGAAGCAGAATGACAATTCGAGGCTTCCGACCTTTCATGACCTTCCAAACCCATGGCGCAGCCCTTAAACATGCATGAGCTCAGCCGCACTCAGTTTTTGGTTACTTTTGGCCCACATTTCGCCATTCGCCACGGGATGTCAGAAGTGGTTGACTCGGCATCTAAAACTGCCATCATCCCAGGGACCCACCCCTATTTGGAGCTCTACCTCTGTTGCTCTATGATTTCTCGCTATTTTTAGCGTCTTCCGCCAAATCAAGACGTATAATGGAAAGCCTACGCCCAAGAGACTCAGATGATGCATCACCCAGTATGTATCATGCTGTATCCGATATATCAGAAGACGAAACTGCCTCGACAGTGAATCGTCAAGAGCAACAGACCCCCGACTTACTGCCGACAAGAGACAACCACGATCAAGGCGTTGCCTTCATCTCTGGGCCCCGCGAGCATCATGCTGTATCAGACATTTCAGAAGACGAAGCTGCCGAGGCAGCGAATCGTCACGAGCAAGAGACCACCGACTTACGGCCGACAAAGGACAACCACGATCAAGATGTTGCCTTCATCAACAAGCCTCGCGAAAAGGGAAGCTTTGACGCTGCCAAATGGATCGTCTTCTACGCCGCACTAGCTAGCCTCCCGATGCTTTGTTTTTCAGCTGTGCTTCTGGGCATTCTTATCAAGAATTGGATCGAGACCGTTGATTCAACGAGCGATGATGCTGTTGCTTTAGGCTACTATATAGTAGATTTTCCTGCTGCTCGGCTGATCTTTGTTTCTTCATGGAGTAGCAGCGTTGCGCCCCGGCTAGCCAGCATTGTGATGGGTCTCTATCTCTTCAGAACGGCCAAGGGATTACTTAAAAGATCGTCCACAAACGAAATGGCTCGACTGCCGACACCATATCAATTGGTACTCCTAATAGGTCTGTCGACTGGCTCACTTGGGCATCTTTGGAAGTACGTGAAGTACGGGTGGACAAGCAAGCATAAGTTTGCTTCTTTGATCAAATCAACCGGTGCCGTTCTGATAATTTTTCAACTCCTCGGGTGAGTAAGACAAGCTTTGCTGGTCATTTCAAGCGCTTCCGGATTTCAGGCTGATGCTCTTCCTCCGGCAGCTTGGCAATTTTCGGACTTGATTCTTTGCTTCATTTTACAACCGAAGTAAGTCAACGGGACTTCATAATGCAAAGTACGGAATAGCTGACGATGTAAACCCATTTTAGGCTGTGCTCTATATGAGAAACTCGACTTCAGACGCCGTGCAGCAGTCATTTAGCCGAGGCTTATCTAGCCGATGCACTTCGCTCGACGACTTCCATGAATACCCATGCACTTACGTGCGAGCCGTCACTGGACAAGGCCTAGAAGACTCGTCAGAAACTACATCGGTATTCAGCGATAGGTCGACACAACATAGCCTGTTTAACTTCACCACGCCGGCCTCGGATGGATCAGATGCAAGCCTCATCTTTCTTGGCCCAGCTTCCAATTCAATATCGAACGAGCTGGAATACACCGCCAGTACCATTGGTGTCCAGACCTCCTGCAAGCCTATCAGCCAGTTGTGTCAACTGAGCGCTCCTATTGGAGCTGCTACTCCATATAATTGCAGCTCTGGATTCTACGGTGATCTTCAGAGTATAACGCTCAACTCGACCGCAACCTCATGGAAGGCGAATGATGAACATCTCGTCTTTGGAGCCGACTTCCTGGATGACAACTTCACCCAGCCGTATAACAATTACAGCTCACAAGAAGATCGCAGCGATATTTCTGTTTCTCCCGGACATAATCTGCCAAGTAGCTGGTACATGGCTGTGGCATTCCGCCTTGACTTCGGAGTCAAAAGTTCAAACATTCCCAATGATCCAGAGATAACAATTCCGGTACATGGTGGCGCTGCCTTCATTTTGCGCTGCCAAGTAGCTACATACGAGGTGAAGTATACCTCATTCAACGGATCTCTCTCGCATGTTTCTACCACACTTGCCAATGGGTCTGTCGCGTGGCTATACAACAGCGTCATCCCAGCGCCGGGTACGCCTTCTATCATGATAACCCAAGGCACCGACATAGCAATCATGGGCAATAGCTCTGCTGAAATAGCCTCTGAATGGGGTACGCAGTTCTCACGGGTAGCCGTATCCATCCTAGCTCCTGTTTACGAGGGTCGTTCAAACCTTGCCGAGTCGACGATACGGTCTGCCATTCTTACGCGTGTCCCGCGAGCTCCTCTGTTAGGCATTGTTGTGCTAAACATTGTCTTTGCCATATTTGGACTTCTTTTGGGCTGCATGGCGTTGGCGTCCAACTCAGAGAGCGTTGCAGCTGTTGCTGGTGGATTGAGTATCGACGGCTTAGTGGCCTCAATCTTTGAAGATGACGGGGGCATGGTTGAAGGAGCCGAAATAGAGAAATGCTTCTCTGAAAACGTGCAAGGAGGAGCCGTTAGGGTTGGACTTCACGAGGAACGCCCAGGTCAGTGGGACCTGGTTAAGAAGACGCAGTAGACGATAGAGAGCTTGTATACGCACACACATACGACTTGATCATACCCCGGATAAGCTATCGATGCCTCATATATTTAGATCATCGCTGGTGTTCAAAATTTTCTTACTGAACTATGCATTGTGCCCGATCTTGTTGGGTTGGCAAGAGGTACTTGGCTGGAAACAACGGCGTCGAAATTGAGCCCGCTGACACCTGGCGCCGGTTCCGATTCACAGGAGAATAGGAGCCGTGAATGTTTGTGAAGCAGCAAGTTTGAGTCACGAGATTTGCAGGCGCCTTATTCTCGTCGCATCAGGTAAGGGTCGTGAACTTGCCCTCGCCAGCTACGAAGGTGCTATTGGTAATACAATACACTTTTGGCATTCGTGTTACTCACTTTAGTGTTCACTACAGCCTGATAGGCACTTTTGCTAGGTCCCATGCGCAACCATTGTTAAGTTCGTTCTCGCTACCTTATCCTATGAAGTGTACCGTTGTTCAACAGGACTGCCGACCTAGCAACCCATTGATGATATCCAATTCCAAATTTGGACTTAAAAAAGAATCGTTGTGAGTTGTTATTTTAGCCTGAGTAGTAGGAAATGGGAGAAGATCTCTGCTCACTAAAAGATTGCCGCGTATTCGCGTCGCTTAATTATTTGTCCCTGACCAGCGTCAGTGTCCCTGGGTGCAAATGTTGAGACCCACTTTAAGCTCACTTCGGACCACATTTCCTCAACTACGGCGCGCCCTTCATGTCAATTGGTTGGAAGATCTTAGAATGAAACAGAACACCGAGCCAAATTTCATGATAATCATAAGTCGAGCGTAACACTCATCGCATTTTTAATTCGGAGACCGTCAATCTTTTACTCAGGGCATTTCCGTGCCCCTCATCAGTCACAATGGCCGCAGCCGCCCGCACCTACCTGGCCTTCCAGCACAACGCCAAACTCCACACCCTCAAGACAATCGTCACCGCAATCCGCCCCTTCGCCGACCTCGAAGAGTCCAACCGTCAGCTCTTCAAAGATGGCAGCGACCAAGACCACGTCGTCGTGACGGAGCAGACCATCTTCCACCCCCAAGGCGGCGGCCAGCCCTCCGATGTCGGCTCCATGACGACATCGTCAGGCGCGTCATTTTCAGTCAACTTGGTGCGCATGGACGGCGTGCGCGACGGCCAGGTGCTGCATTTCGGGCGCTTCAGCGGCGCGAACGCGATATTCAAGGAGGGCGACGAAGTGGAGCAGGCGATTGACGTCGAGAAGAGGCTGCTGTACTCGCGGTACCACACTGCTGGCCACGTGCTCGGTGCAGCGGTGCGGCATCTGCTGGAGAAGGAGGTCGAGGGGTTCGATGAGCTGAAGGCGTCGCATTTTCCGGACTCGGCGAATTGTGAGTTTCAGGGGCTGATTGATGGGAAGCACAAGGACTCCATCCAGACGAAAGTTAATGAGTTTTTGGATGCGAAGATGCCGGTCAAGGTTGACTTCTGGGATGAAGAGGACTTTAAGAAGCGGGGGTTGGAGAGGCTTATCCCGGACAGGAGTCTGGCGCCGCCTGGGGAGAAGTTCAGGGTCGTTGAGATTGTGGGCGCGGAGGTGTATCCTTGCGGAGGAACGCATGTCGATACGACGGACTTGTGTGGTGATACGACGGTGAGGAAGATCTCCAGGAGTAAGGGCAAGTCAAAGGTCAGCTATGCGGTGGCTGCAGAGGCACCAGCCCAGTCATAGATGAGGGATGCATATACACAATAGAGCCATGATAGAAATGAAGCTTCCAAGCAATTGATGTGTGATTAGTTCAGAGGTTGAAGAATCGCCACGCGTCTCAACCGTCTCTAGTCTGAAGAGTCTATGTCTAGGGTATGCAAACAATTCGCTAATCAACGCGATGCCCATCATTAAACGCCGTAATGCATGTCGCCTCCCGATACGTCTAGTCGCGCAGGAGCGCAATTCCAGAAATGGCCCGGTCCTCATCGTAGAACAGCTTCTTCTTCTCCGTTCCGTCAAAGTTGCTGCGGTAGATGCTTCCACCCAGGTCACCGAAGTAGACGTGGCCGTTCTCCTTGTCGAGTTTCACGCCGATGGCCTCGTTGAGATGCCTGACCAGGATCTCGAACCTTTCGGAACCAGTCGCCGCCAATAGACCAGTCTTGGGGTCGATATGAGCCCTGTTGAGGGTGTTGCCCTTGGGGATCTCACCGCGGTCAGTCCAGAAGATGGTGTTCGAGTCTTCGTCGACTTCGATGTCAATGCACTCGGGCAGCTTGTCCAGGAAGCACTCAATGTCGTCTCTCGTCTCGGCAGTCTTTCCCTCGGGCATCTCGATGTTGGCGCAGAAGATGCGGCCCTGGCCTGACTTGGGTGCGCCCTTCTGAGTCCAGTAGAACCTGCCAAGCTTGGGAGCGACGGAGATACCGACACACCATGACTTGACGTCCTCAGGATCATTTCCCGAAGCAACCAAGGTCTCGAGCTCGCTGCCGTCGAGGTTGGATCGGTACACTCTCATACCCTCGCGATCGCTGAAGTAAATCTTCCTCGACTCAGGCTCCACCACGAGCTGCTTGGGCGTGTTGATGACACCCGGCACGAACAAAGACTGGACATCGCTGCCGTCGAGGTTGGCAGAGTAGACAGCACCGTCCTGCTCGCCGGGGGTGCCCATGCAGGTCCAGAACATGCGCTTGGTCTCCTCGTCGATGTCGATGCCATCGGGAACGTGCTGGCGGTCGACAAGCACCTTCTCGAGCTTGCCCTTCGACGAGAGCTGAATGACTTGGCCAGATGTTGCTTGGTTGTTGGAGCGGCCCAGGCCGAGGTCGAGGGCGACGATCTTGGGGAGGTGAGGGTAGAGACCGCCCTTGGTTGACTTGGTGCCGAGTCTGCCCTTGGAGAGGTACTCGCGTTCGAGGAAGTCGACAGTGTTTTCGGGAGAGAGGCCGCGCTCCTTGACGTAGTGCTTTTCGATGAAGGCGACAGTGTCGAGACCAACCTCTGTCAAAATGTTAGTACTTGGCACGGGAGATTAAGTCAGGATCGGGTGAGCTTACCATCCATCATCACGCAAGGTCCCACGCCACGCTTGCCAAGCTCAACGAACAGAGCATCAATCTCCTCTGGGCTCGAGACACCTTCAGCCAAAATCCACAGAGTCTCGCGCTTAATCGCAGCCCACAGACGGTTGAAGATGAAGCCAGTCGACTCCTTTCTCGCAGTAAACGGCCTCGTGCCGACCTCCTTCTGCCTGTCCGTCATGAACGGGAAAATATCAGGGTTGGTGTGTCCACAGGTCATCAGTTCGACGACCATATTGCCCGGAGGCATGTAGTAATGCGTGTTCATGATGCGCGTCTTAGTCTCATCCTTGACCTTGTCGAGCATCTCCGAGGAGCGGTATGAAGACGAGTTGCTTGCCAGGATGGCGTCTGCGGGTGCCTTGGCCTCGAGCTCAGCAAATGTGTCGATCTTGATCTCGATCCTTTCGGGTACGGCCTCGATCACGAGCCAGGCGTTCTTGACGGCGGTCTCGAGGTCTTGGAAACATTGTACGGTACCGGGGCGTTTCGTGCCTGATGCCGGGTAGCTGTCGACGTTCTGCTTGACGTAGTCCAGGCAGGGCTGGTGTTGCTTGACGTCTGGTTCGCGGACTTGGACGTTGTAGCCGCCGGAAGCCCAAGTCGTAGCAATGCGGCGACCGAGAACGCCTCCGCCGAGCACCGCGACCGGGCGCTCGCCGTAGTTTGATGGTAATGAAGACATTGATGTGAGTGTGATTATGTTTGGTTGTGGAGAGAAAAGCGTATCAATTATTTCAGATGCGTTAATGTTTCTCAATATCGAAGCGCCCTACGAAACGAGGGAGCCAAGCATCGGGAGATATTTATACGCATGCCTTCGAAGTCGACTAGAAACCTCCGTCGAACTTTTCGGCGGGCCAAGTTCGTCATCTCTCCGACGGTGCCGGGCCAGCCAGGGTCGGCGTCCCGTTATCTTGGATGCCGTGGGTCGCGCGGATGCAGGGTCAAAGGCAGCCCCCATGGGAACCGCGGTTGGTGGCGTGTCGTGAGTCGAGAACACAGTTCAGACGGATGACGCAGTTGTTTGATAAATTGGGACTTGGGCCCATTGTCGGGATTTTGGTGCCGATCACCGGGGTCGGCATCGCCGTCTAGCGGGCCCACCTGAATTCTTCAATTCCGCGTGCGACTTGGGGACGCTCGAAGTGATCATCACCTTGGCTCAGAGAGCATAAAACCGGAAATCTTTGCGTCCAATGATCATTTAGGCAGCGTCCCTATCGTTATGGAGCTTGGGACATGTTTCGTCGGACGTCTTGAAGTGTTTCTCATGTTTGATCCCTCATAACCAGCTCGATACTCTGAGCGGAATTCGACCGCTCTAGGCAAAGCAGCAATTCCGCGCTAAGTCCGCATCCTCGGCATCTGGTGGGGCAGGCCCGTTCTTATGGATCCGGCCTCGGCACCCGCGAGCTTATGCGGTGGAGCCCCCACTCCCGGCCTCGGCATTGAAAGATGAGCTGGCCAAGCCCGTATCCCGCTATTCGTGTCACCAGGTTGCTGCCGTTCCTTCGCGGAGATGATAAGGCGCGAGGATCGCTCTACACCCGGGGCAGCTTGACGGAGGTAAACTCTGCCGAATCCCGTCAATTCTTCGAAATACTTGGGCAACCCAGCATAATTGTGAAGGTCGGTCGGGCTGCCGATGATGTCTCATATGGGAGCGTTTGCGCTGTCGCAGCCCTTAGCGATCTTTCACGAAACTCGTGCACATAGAACATGAGTGAGAACTTCAAGGACATGAGACTTATCCCGTCTTCATTGCTGGTCATGCTTGACCTGCATCTTGCATTCAACATTGTCTTCTGCATCAAATTTGATAAGTCGTGGTATCTTGCTATGAGACAACAACCTTGGCGAACTCCCCACTATCAATAGCCCATTCGACCTATTATCATTAAACGTTATCATCATCCTTCCCATCCGGCC